GGAGTGATCCTGGACTCATCGCTGAGCCTGGAACCCCAGGTCTCGGCGGTGGTCAGGAGAGCTTTTGCACAGTTAAAACTTGTGCACCAGCTGCGCCCGTACCTTGGAAAGTCTGACTTGGCCACGGTGGTCCATGCTCTGGTTACATCCCGTATAGACTACTGCAATGCTCTCTATGTGGGGTTGCCTCTGAAGACTGCCTGGAAGCTTCAATTAGTACAACGAGTGGCAGCCAGATTACTAACGGGAGCGGGGTACAGGGAGCATACTACTCCTCTGTTGCGCCAGCTCCACTGGCTGCCAATCAGCTTCCGAGCACAATTCAAAGTGCTGGTGTTGACCTATAAATCCCTAAACGGCTCTGGCCCTATTTACCTGTCCGAACGGATTCTCCCCTATGAACCATCAAGGTTGTTAAGATCTTCTGGAGGGGCCCTGCTCTCGGTCCCACCGCCTTCGCAATCGCGTTTGGTGGGGACGAGGGACAGGGCCTTCTCGGTGGTGGCCCCTCGGCTTTGGAACTCCCTCCCGATGGAGATTAGATCTGCCTCTTCCCTCCTGACGTTTAGAAAGCTGGTAAAAAACATGGCTTTGGGATACTGCATTTGCAGAGTGATGACTGAGTCAATGACTGTTGACCTTTCTGGTGGATGGCGATGAATTTGTGATTCTTTTGGACGAACTGATTTTTGCTATAACCTGTATGAATTGTATAATTGTATTTTAATGTTTTTATATTGGTGATTTATAATGTTTTCTTATTGTATTGAATCTTGTGTTGTTAGCCGGCCTGAGTCCCTCCTCGGAGGTTGAGAAGACCGGGGTATAAAAACTCTAAATAAATATTTAAATAAATAAATTTGTGCTTCTGCCATGCAGTTCTACAAGGAAAATGTTGTCCTCCATCTGCACTATCGCGCTGCTTCCCTTTTGACCAAATTTCTATAGCATTAATATTCACTCTGCAAAATAAGCACTTTGATTTTGAACCTTTGGATGAATGCAAAAAAAGGCATGTTCGTGGATCACATTGCAAAAAAGTGGGGAATGTCATTTTTTGAAGGCACAATACAAATTTAGTCTGTCATAATAACTAGGTTGCTGTACATCCAGAAGTTGTTATTGTCTAAAACGAACCCCGGCACTGTGTCTAGATAGGATTTGAGAGAGCTTTTGTCAGAAGCTTCAGTTGAGAATTAATTCAAAGCAAGGTGACAGCTGCAGGTGACAGTTTAGAGGTGCTGAATGAGTGCTGCGACTAGCATTTACTACTGACTTCAGACGGGATTAGGCACTTGGAGGTGATTGTTCTTGGGTGTAGCCTTTGGAGGATTACTACCTTGGCAGAAGGAGTTGTCATGGAGAGGAGAGTGCTCAGCATTAGAGAGGAGACTACAACTGGTGGCAAGGAAACTGAATGCTGTATTTGTTTGCGAAATTGTTTTTTCCCTCTGAAATCAGGGGTTATTTATAGATACTTTGCTGTGCTTTAACTCTTAGATCTAAAACAGTGTTTCTCAATCTGGGGGTCGGGACCCCTGAGGGTGTCAGAGGGGTCACCATAGACCAGTGGTTCTCAACGTTGCTAATGCCGTGACCCCTTAATGCAGTTCCATATGTTGTGGTGACCCCCAACCATAATATTGTTTTCGTTGCTGTCATTTTATTACTATTATAAATCGTAATGTAAATATCCGATATGCAGGATGATTTTCATTCACTGGACTAAATTGAGCACAAATACCCAATATGCCCAAATGTGAATGCTAGTGGGGTTGGGGGGGGGGGATTGATTTTGTAATTTGGGAGTTGTAGTTGCTGGGATTTATAGTTCACCTATAATCAAAGAGCATTCTGAACTCCACCAGCGATGGATTTAAACCGAACTTGGAACACAGAACTACCATGACCAACAGAAAACATTGGAAGCGTTTGGTGGGCATTGACCTTGCGTTTGGGAGATATAGTTCACCTATATACAGAGGAGTGCTGTGGATTCATGCAATGATGGATCTGGACTTGGATTTGGGAGTTGTAGTTGTTGGGATTTATAGTTCACCTACAATCAAAGAGCATTCTGAACTCGACCAACAATAGAATTGGATCAAACTTCTCACACAGAATCCCAATGACCAACAGAAAATACCATGTTTTTCTGATGGTCTTTGGCGACCCCTTTGACACCCCGTCACGACCCCCTCAGGGGTCCTGACCCCTGAGGGGGTCATGGGGTCATGTTGGTCATGGGGGTTCTATGTGGGAAGTTTGGCCGAATTCTACCGTTGACGGGATTCAGAATGCTCTTTCATTGTAAATGAACTATAACTCCCAAATGTCAAGGTCTATTTTCCCCAAACTCCACCAGTGTTCACATTTGGGCATATTGAGTATCCGTGCCAGGTTTGATCCAGATCTATCATTGTTTGAGTCCACAGTGCTTTCTGGAGATAGGTGAACTACAGTTTCCAAACTCAAGGCCAATGCCTACCAAACAATTCCAGTATTTTCTCTTGGTCATGGGAGTTCTGTACGCCAAGTTTTGTTCAATTCCATCATTGGTGGGGTTCACAATGCTCTTTGATTGTAGGTGAACTATAAATCCCAGTAACTACAACTCCCAAATGACAAAATCAATTCTCCTTCCAACCCCACCAGTATTGAAATTTGGCATATTGGGTAAGGTAAGGTAAAAGTTTTCCCTTGACATTAAGTCCAGTCATGTCCAAGACCGGCGGTTGGTGCTCAATTTCTAGGCCGAAGAGCTGGTGTTGTCCATAGACACCTCCAAGGCCGACATGACTGCATGGAACTCTATTATTGGGTATTTGTGCCAAATTTGTTCTAGTGAATGAAAATTCGTCTTGCATTTCAGATATGGGGTTGTTGTAGGTTTTTCCGGGTTATATGGCCATGTTCTGGAGGCATTTTTTCCTGATGTTTCGCCTGCATCTATGGCAAGCATCCTCAGAGGTAGTGAGGTATTTTCATTATGATTCATAACAGCAACACAATTACCATCAGGAAGTAGCAACGATAATTATTTTATGGTTGAGAGTCACCACAACATGAGGCGCTGTATTAAGGGGTCGCACCATTGGGAAGGTTGAGAACCACTGTTCTAGAACATCCTATGGATTCTTTCTCTTTCTCTGAACAGTGCTGTTGCTTTGGTGAGGTCTCCCTTGGCTTGTACGAGAGTGTGTCAAAAAGTTTTATCTTCTGTGTCATTAAAAACATTATGGATGAACATATAACAGCAGAAGTTACTCCAGATCATAACCTGAACTGTCCTCTACGCAAAACTACCCTTCAACATAGTCACCATCAATTTGTACACATTTGTGCCATCATTTGATCCAGGCATCAAAACCATTATGGAAAATGTATTGTCGAAGACTTTCATGGCCGTAATCACTGGGTTGTTGTAGGTTTTTCCGAGCTATATGGCCATGTTCTGGAAGCATTTTCTCCTGACTTTTGCCTGCATCTATGGCAAGCATTCTCAGAGGTAGTGAGGTCTGCTGGAAGTAGGAAAATGGGTTTATATATCTCATTCTCCCAGCAGACAAGGGGAATGCCACAGTAATCATGCATACAGAACAATACAAGGAGAAGGTCAGAAAACTCCTGGATCCTACGATAATCTTAAACAAGACCCAACTTCCAAAATAACCAGAAAAACCAACACTGTGATTAAGAACTCCTCAATCAACTTCGACATATAACAACAGAAACAATCAGGCACATCAAATCACTCTCAACAAAAGATTCCCCCAGGCACTTCCAAGCCATTAAATGCTAATCAAGGTGGTCAGTTGAAACATTCACACCTAGCTCCTGCAGACAAGAGTCCTTTGTCCCACCCTGGTCATTCCACAGATATATAAACCCATTTTCCTACTTCCAACAGACCTCACTACCTCTGAGGATGCTTGCCATAGATGCAGGTGAAACATCAGGAGAAAATGCCTCCAGAACATGGCCATATAGCCTGGAAAAACCAACAACAACCCATTTTGGAAAAATTCAGGGTTTTGCTTCATTTATTTATTTATTTATTTATTTTTATCGTGTCAGGAGCAACCAGACAGCAACCAGACAAAACACAAAGTTTGCAAGCTTGGTAGTTACTTACTTACTTAGGCGATCCCCTCATTGACTGAGTAGGATAGTCTTCCGGGATCAGTATTCTTGTGGATCCGTAGGTGACTGTGAAGCCCTATTCTTGACCTGCATCTTTTCCCGCAGTGAGGGCATTGGTTTCCAGGTGGAAGGCGGTCTCGGTCGGGGTTGGCTTGATGCATCCTCCTCTTGGCATATTTCTCTCTTTCACCCTCCATTCGTGCCTCTTCAAATTCTGCAGCACTGCTGGTCACAGCTGATCCACCAGCTTGAGCGCTCAAGGGCCAGGGCTTCCCAGTTCTCAGTGTCTATGCCAGAGATTTTAAGGTTGGCTTTGAGCCCATCTTTAAATCTCTTTTCCTGTCCCACAATTCCATTTTCCGTTCTTGAGTTCGGAGAGCAACTGCTTTGGGAGACGTGGTCGGCATCCGGACAATGGCCGGTCCAGAGTTGATGGCGGAAGACCATTGCTTCAATGCTGGTGGTCTTTGCTTCTTCAGCACACTGACATTTGTCCTGTCTTCCCAAGAGATTTGCAGGATTTTCCGAGGCAGCTGATTGAATCGTTCTAGGAGTTGCATGTGACGTCTGTAGACATGTTTTCGCAGGCTATAGCAGGGTTGGGAGGACAATAGCTCTATAAACAAGCACCTTGGTATCCCTACGGATGTCCCGGTCCTCAAACACTCTCTGCTTCATTCGGAAAAATGCTGCGCTCGCAGAGCTCAGGCGGTGTTGTATTTCAGTGTCGATGTTGACTTTGGTAGAGAGGTGGCTGCCAAGGTAGCAGAAATGGTCAACGTTTTCTAATGTTAGATCACATAAATGTAAACATTGGCGCATGACATGAAACAGATTTTCCACATTTTTCCCCACAGTTGCTGCAGCTCAGGCATTAGCAGAAGAAAGAAGAACCCAAAGTGGCAGTAGTCCTGTCCCAATTCAGTCTCCAGTTAGCACAAAATCATCAACTAAGCCAGGTATAATCCTTGATTTCAAGACATCCATCAACTCTTGGTAATGTTTGTTTGTATAGCTTCCATTTTGAATGCATTCCCTCTGCTCTCTTCTGCTGAATAGGATATAATCTGCTTTATCTGCTAAAAATATTTTGGTTGCCTTATTTTGACATTTTTCAGATTTAGAGAGCAGTTGGTCTAACCAAGTCAGTAAAAAAGAAAGCAGTATGTGAGATAGGAAATTGCTACTCCAGTTTTTGTATGTATGTACATTTCATAAAAGCAGAAGTGCCAAAAAAACAAACAACACTTCTGTTCCTGGGTGAACAAACTCGTATTTCTTCTTGTGGACGTACATTTATGAAAACACAGTGTAATGTGCCTGTTTGCTTGGTGAATAAACAGTTTGAATTTCTCGTCCTTGACAGTGATAGATGGCTCCATGTTGAAATCAGAAGAGAGGCAAAGACTAGCCAGAGAACGCAGAGAAGAGCGAGAGAAACAATACGGTATGGCTTTGTGAAAAGATAAATTAATGGAAAGCCCGAACTTAGTTACTGTATATACTCGAGTATAAGCCTAGTTTTTCAGGCCTTTTTTTAGGCTGAAAAAGTCCCCCTAGGCTTATACTCAAGTAAAGGTTATTTATTATTTTACTCTATTATTGTTATTATTATTTTCATTTCATTTATTATTTTATTCTATTTACTAGCTGTCCCCTGCCACATGTTGCTGTGGCCCAGTCTGGTGATCTGGAAAATAAAGTAATGAGAAAGTGTTGGTTTCTAATATATGTAATTCCTTTATGCTTGTGAGTAAACAGTATTTCTTGTTGTTTCTTTGTCAGTGTTGATGTGGAGAGTGTCTGGTTTGCCTACTCTGGAATATGCAACATATCATAGTCCTTCTTTAAGGGTCTCTTTCAAATCTATGATACTCTATCTGTGTGTGTGAGAGAGAATCATATCTATCTATCATCTGACTTGGCCACGGTAGTCCACGCTCTGGTTACATCCCGTCTTGACTACTGCAACGCTCTCTACGTGGGGTTGCCTTTGAAGACGGCTCGGAAGCTCCAATTAGTCCAAGGGGCGGCAGCCATGATACTAACGGGAGCGGAGCGCAGGGAGCATACAACTCCTCTGCTGCACCAGCTCCACTGGCTGCCGATCTGCTACCGGGCCCAATTCAAGGTGCTGGCGTTGGCCTTTAAAGCCCTAAACGGTTCTGGCCCAACTTACCTATCCGAACGTATCTCGGCCTATCAGCCCACCAGGACCCTAAGATCTTCTGGGGAGGCCCTGCTCTCTATCCCGCCTGCTTCACAGGTGCGGCTGGCGGGGACGAGAGACAGGGCCTTTTCTGTGGTGGCCCCTCGGCTTTGGAACACCCTCCCTATAGAGGTACGATCAACCTCCTCGCTGATGGTGTTTCGGAAAAGATTGAAGACATGGATGTTCAAACAAGCATTCGGTTAATCCGGTGCAAAGAAATTGATGATTAAGGACTGGTAATCATGGACGATGAAATTGGACTACGATTCTAGTTAAGAGATGCATTGGATTGTATTGGTGGCCCAATACTATGTATTGTATGTTGTTTTTTATGCTTTTTAAACTGAATATTGTTGATTGTTGTAGAGTTGTAAACCGCGTTGAGTCGCCAATTTTGGCTGAGAAACGGCGGTATACAAGCGCAGTAATAAATAAATAAATAAATAAATATATTTATGACTGGATGGCTCTTTGTCAGGAGGGCTTTGATTATGTTTTCTTGCCCTGGTGAAGAGAGTTGGACTGGATGGCCTTAAGTATTTTCTGTTGGTCATGGGGGTTCTGTGTGGGAAGTTTGCCCCGATTCTGTCGTTCGTGGGGTTCAGAATGCTCTTTGATTGTAGGTGAACTGTGAATCCCAGTGACTACAACTCCCAAATGTCAAGGTCTATTTCCCCCCAAACTCCATCTGTGTTCATATTTGGGCATATTGGGTGCTTGTGCCAAGTTTGGTCCAGATCCATCATTGTTTGAGTCCACAGTGCTCTCTGGATGTAGGTGAACTATAACTCCCAAACTCAAGGTCAATGCCTACCAAACCCTTCCGATATTTTCTGTTGGTCATGGGAATTCTGTGTGCCAAGTTTAGTTCAATTCCATCGTTGATGGAGTTCAGAATGCTCTTTGATTGTAGGTGAACTATAAAACCCAACAACTACAACTCCCAAATGACAAAATCATAATTTTTGAACGATGGTCACTCTTTGTGTTGTGAGACATTTTGTTGCCAAATTTGGTGTGATTTCATTCATTGGTTCTTTTGTTTTTAAGGTACTCATTATACACAGATAATTTTTATATGTATAGATATTATTATTTTACTGTATAATTGTTGTTATTGCTACATTCATTATTTTACTCCTTTATTATTGTTACTACATTTATAATGTTACTCTATTATTACTGGAAGGATATGTAAGCACGTTTACATTAAAGAAGGTAAATAATCATTTAATCAGAGTTGGACAGTCTTATCTTAAATTACCATTTTTGTAAATATTCAAAAATATATAACCTACTGATTCCTCAATAAATGTAATTTAATTTGGGGTTTTTGGATTTTTTTTTTTTTTTTTGGTCATGTCAGGAGTGACTTGAAAAACTGCAAGTCGCTTCTGGTGTGAGAGAATTGGCCGTCTGCAAGGGCGTTGCCCAGGGGACGCCCGGATGATTTGATGTTTTTATCATCCTTGTGGGAGGCTTCTCTCATGTCCCCGCATGAGGAGCTGGAGTTGACAGGGGGAGCTCATCCGCCTCTCCCGGATTCGAACCTGAGACCTGTCGGTCTTCAGTCCTGCCAGCACAGGGGTTTAACCCACTATGCCACCGGGGGCTCCGTGTAATTTAATTAATATCTTTTTTTATTTTGCAATTTACCAGTAGCTGCTGCATTTCCCACCTTCGGCTTATACTCAAGTCAACCCATTTTCTCCGTTTTTTGTCGTAAAATTAGGTACCTCGGCTTATGTTCGGGTCAGCTTATACTTGACTATAGATGGTATTTTCTCACCAAATACATATTTCAAGATCTAATTTACTTAAAATATGTGTGTTTCTGAAAACACACGTTTTAGCCCAAAATAAGGAATGTGAACACATTTTCTTAGGAGTTTTAAAAGTTTATTTATTTACTCTATTTCTATCCCGCCCTTCTCACCCTTTTGAGGATGAGAATCCTTTGAGAACTTTCTTTAAATTGAAGATATTTATTGACAATTTGGTAGAAATACGAACTTTTCTGACAAGATACACCCACTGGCCCATCAGGTCAGTCTGCACAGGAATTTACGAAGATTAAATTCCTCATGCATTTTTAATTGTAGTAAAAAATCAATAATTTCCTGCAGCTTTGGCATTGAAAGCTTTGCTTCTAAAGCAAGTATGGGCAAACCCAGGCCTGGGGGCCGGATGCACCCCCTTGAGCTCTTTTATTAGGCCCTTCTCTCTCACACCTTCCTTTCTTTCCTTCCTCCTTCCCTCTCTCCCTCTTTCTCCTTCCTTTCTTCCCTTTTGTCCTTTTCCTTCTCTCTTTCCTCCTTTCCTTCCCTCCTTCCTCTTCTTCTCCTTCCTTCCTCTTTTCCTTCCTTCCCCTCCTCTTTTTCCTTCCTCCTTTCCTCCCTCTTTCACCTTCCATCCTTTCCTTCCTTCCCTCGCTCTTTCCTCCCTCCTACCATCTTTTTCCTTCCATTCTTCCTTTCCTCCTTTTTGTCCTTCTCTGTTTTCTTCCTTTTTACCTCCATCCCTTACATCCCTCTTTCATCTTCCATTCCTCCATTGCACCCTTCCCTCCCTGTCTCCCTCTCTCTTTCACCCCCTTCCCTTCCCTCTTTCTCCTTCCTTCCTTCTCTCTTTCCTTCCTCCTTACCTCCCTCTTTCATCTTCCATTCCTTCCTTCCTTCCCTCTTCCCTCCCTCCTACCCTCTTTTTCCTTCCATTCTTCCCTTCCTCCTTTTTATCCTTCTCTTTTTCCTTCCATCCTCCTTCCCTTCCTTCTCTCCCTTTCTTCCTTCTCTCTTTCCTTCCTCCTTACCTCCCTCTTTCACCTTCCATCCTTTCCTTCCTTCCCTCCCTCCTACCCTCTTTTTCCTTCCATTCTTCCTTTCCCCCTTTTCGTCCTTCCTTCTCTCTTTTCTTCCTTCTTTCTTTCCTTCCTCCTTACCTCCCTCTTTCTCCTTCCATCCCTTCCATCCTCTTCCCTCCCTCCTACCCTCTTTTTCATTCCATTCTTCCCTTCCTCCTTTTTGTCCTTCCTTCTCTCTTTCCTTCCTTCCTCCTTCCCTTCCTTCCTTCTCTCCCTCCCTTTCTTCCTTCTCTCTTTCCTTCCTCCTTACCTCCCTCTTTCACCTTCCATCCCTTCCTTCCTTCCCTCTTCCTTCCCTCCTAACCTCTTTTTCCTTCCATTCTTCCTTCCTCCTTTTTGTCCTTCTCTCTTTTCTTCCTTCTTACCTCCATCCCTTACATCCCTCTTTCATCTTCCATTCCTCCATTACACCCTTCTCTCCCTGTCTCCCTCCCTCCTTCCCCCTCTTTCTCCTTCCTTCCTTCTCTTTCCTTCCTCCTTACCTCCCTCTTTCCTCCTTCCATCCCTTCCTTCCTTCCCTCTTCCCTCCCTCCTACCCTCTTTTTCCTTCCTTCCTTCCTTCCTTTTTGTCCTTCCTTCTCTCTTTCCTTCCTTTCTCCTTCCCTTCCTTCTCTCCCTCCCTTTCTTCCTTCTCTCTTTCCTTCTTCCTTACCTCCCTCTTTCTCCTTCCATCCCTTCCTTCCTTCCCTCTTCCCTCCCTCCTACCCTCTTTTTCCTTCCATTCTTCTCTTCCTCCTTTTTGTCCTTCCTTCTCTCTTTTCTTCCTTCTTACCTCCATCCCTTACCTCCCTCTTTCATCTTCCATTCCTCCATTGCACCCTTCCCTCCTTTTCTCCCTCTCTCTTTCACCCACCCCTCCCTTCCCTCTTTCTCCTTCCATCCTTCTCTCTTTCCTTCCTCCTTCCTTCCAGCACCAGGCAGCCAGTGATGGACTCTCTTAGCAGGGAGTGCTAGCATGCAGCCCCCAAATTAGAAAGTTTGCCCAGGCCTGTTCTAAAACCTTGAGTTTTGTGGCCCTTAGCAATGCAAAGAAGAAGTTTCAAAACATAGAGGACGTGCCACTTTAACAGCTTACACACTGGGCTCGGACCTAGGCAAAGCTCTGAATAATCCTGTTTGTAGGCTTTGTTTTTCCCCTTGCATCACATTCTTTCTGCAGTTTCCATGTCCCAGATCTCACCAGTGAAATTCTTATCACAGTATCCAAAATACGCTTTTGTGGTTAAACCCTGCAATGGCTGCTTGTGGCATTCTCCAGAATAATGAGAATTTGCATTTGGAGTCTGGTCTGGTCTCCTCGGCCTAGTTTTGGTTGCCACAGCAAGCAAAATGGGCGAGGAATATAGAATGGCATCATGTTGAAAATGAAATTCTCAAGCTGTGAATGCAATGTGTCCATATTGTAGTGGCAGAAAGGTACTTCTGTTACTTCTCAGTTATTCGGCAGACAACAAATCCCTGTGTAAAGTAGACCATAGTACCATATATACTCTAGTATAAGCCGATCCGAATTTAAGACGAGGCACCTAATTTTATACAAATAACTTGGAAAATGTATTGACTCGAGTATAAGCCGAGGGTGGGAAATGCAGCAACTACTGGTAAATTTCAAAATAAAAATAGATACCAATAAAATTACATTAATTGAAGGCATCAGTGGTTTAAATATTTTTGAATATTTACAAAAAGCTGTAATATAAGATAAGACTGTCCAGCTCTGATTAAACCATTATTCTAACCTTCTTCAATGGAAATGTTACGTATCCTTCCAATAATAGTAGAGTAAAATAATAAATGTAATAATAATAATAATAATAATAAAGTAAAATAATGGAAATGTAATAGTAACAGTAATTTTATTTACCGTGTCAGGGGCAGAGCAAACAGTTGCATTGCATTTTTTAACAAACAAACAAAACACAAAGTTTGCAAGCTTGGTAGTTGATTAAATGTCCTTTGACCAGTATCTGGCCACTTGGAGTGCCTCTGGTGTTGCTGCAAGAAGGTCCTCCATTGTGCATGTGGCAGGGCTCAGGTTGCATTGCAGCAGGTGGTCTGTGGTTTGCTCTTCTCCACACTCGCATGTCATGGATTCCACTTTGTAGCCCCATTTCTTGAGGTTGGCTCTGCATCTCGTGGTGCCAGAGCGCAGTCTGTTCAGAGCCTTCCAAGTCGCCCAGTTTTCTGTGTGCCCAGGAGGGAGTCTCTCATTTGATATCAGCCATTGATTGAGGTTCTGGGTTTGAGCCTGCCACTTTTGGACTCTCGCTTGCTGAGGTGTTCCTGCAAGTGTCTCTGTAGATCTTAGAAAACTATTTCTTGATTTAAGTCGTTGGCGTGCTGGCTGATACCCAAACAAGGGATGAGCTGGAGATGTCTCTGCCTTGGTCCTTTCACTATTGGTTGCTACTTCCTGGAGGATGTCAGGTGGTGCAATACCGGCTAAACAGTGTAATTTCCCAGTGGTGTAGGGCGCAGACACCCCGTGATAGTGCAGCATGTTTCATTCAGAGCCACATTAACTGGTTTAGCGTGGTGAGATGTGTTCCTCACTGGGCATGCGTACTCAGCAGCAGAGTAGTATAGTGCAAGGGCAGATGTCTTCACTGTATCTGATTGTGATCCCCAGGTTGTGCCAGTCAGCTTTCGTATGATATTGTTTCTAGCACCCACTTTTTGCTTGATATTCAGGCAGTGCTTCTTGTAGGTCAGAGCACGGTCCAGAGTGACTCCCAGGTATTTGGGTGCGCTGCAATGCTCCAGTGGGATTCCTTCCCAGGTAATCCTCAGAGCTCGGGATGCTTGTCTGTTCTCGAGGTGAAAAGCACGTGTCTGTGTTTTAGATAGATTAGCTGGTTTTCCCTGTAATAGGCAGTAAGATCACCTAGAGCAGTGGTTCTCAACCTGGGGTCCCCAGATGTTTTTGGCCTTCAGTTCCCAGAAATCCTAACAACTGGTAAACTGGCTGGGATTTCTGGGAGTTGTAGGCCAAAAACATCTGGGGACCCCAGGTGAGAACCACTGACCTAGAGCTTCAGAGAGCTTCTGTTCAACCGTCTCAAAGCTCCCTGCTTGAGTGGTAATGGCACGATCACCAGCATAGATGAAACTCTCTGTCCCTTCTGGCAGTGGCTGGTCATTTGTGTAGATGTTGAACATGGATGGAGCAAGCACGCTCCCCTGAGGCAGGCCGTTCTTCTGTTTCCGCCATCTGCTTCTCTGGCCCTGGAACTCAACAAAAAAGCTCCTGTTTTGTAGCAGGTTTCCTATGAGGCGGGTGAGGTGGTAGTCCTTTGTGATATTCTACATTTTTCTCAGGAGGAGGCGGTGGTTCACAGTATCATAGGCTGCTGACAAGTCTATGAAGACAGCTCCTGTGATCTGCTGCCTTTCAAAGCCATCTTCTATGTGCTGAGTCAGGTTCAGCACTTGCGATGTGCAGCTTTTGCCTTTCCTGAAGTAATAATAAAGTAAAATAATGGAAATGTAATAGTAACAGTAATAATAGAGTAAAATAATAAATGTAATAATAACAGCAATAATAAAAATCAGTAAGCCCCGAGGAATGTTTAGCATGATTTATTTCTTCTGCTTTCTCCTTGAGACTAGACTGTCAAGTTGGATTTGAACTCTATCTGTGAGGCATTGGCTCAAAATCAGAGAAAGTGCATCCTGGCACAAATGAGACACTTGATTCTTGTGCTTCTTCCTCTGATGTTTTCATTGACCTTTAAGAAGGTGCTTGGAAATGGCTTTCCAGACTCTCGTCCAGACTCACTTAAAAAAACCGAGAAACACTGTTATGTAGTGCTTTGACTATTGTACTATGACTCTGGAGATCAAGGTTTGAATCTGCACTCAGTCATAGAATTCCACTAGTGTTTCTCAACCTTCCTCATGCCGTGACCCCTTCATACAGTTCCTCGTCTTGTGACAACTCCTAACCATCAAGTTATTTTCGTTACTACTTCATAACTGTAATTTTGCTACTGTTATGAATCGTAATGTAAATATCTGATATGCAGGGTGTATTTTCATTCACTGGGCCAAATTTGGCACAAATACCCAATACGCCCAAATTTGGTCCAATTTTTCAACTTTGAATACTGGTAGGGTTGGAGGGATTGATTTTGTCATTTTGGAGTTGTAGTTGCTGGGATGTATAGTTCACCTACAATCAAAGAGCATTCTGAACATCACCAACAATAGAATTGAACTGAATTTGGCACACACAACTTCTATGGCCAACAGAAAATACTGGAAGGGTTTGGTGAGCATTGACCTTGAGTTTTGGAGTTTTGTAGCTCACCTACAGTATATACTCAAGTATAAGCCTAGTTTTTCAGTCATTTTTTTAGGCTGAAAAAGTCCCCCTCGGCTTATACTCGAGTCAAGGTTATTTATTATTTTAATCTATTATTGTTGTTGTTGTTATTATTATTATTATTTAATTTACCCTATTTATTATTACTATATTTTTCATTTTACTCTATTATTATTATTATTTGAAACACAGTGGGTTAAACCCCTGTGCCGAAGGACTGAAGACCGACAGGTTGCAGGTTTGAATCCGGGAAGAGGCGGATGAGCTCCCTCTATCAGCTCCAGCTCCTCATGCGGGGACATGAGAGAAGCCTCCCACAAGGATGATAAAAACATCAAATCACGCTCCCCTGAGGCAGGCCGTTCTTCTGTTTCCGCCATCTGCTTCTCTGGACCTGGAACTCAACAAAAAAGCTCCTGATTTGTAGCAGGTTTTTGTAGCATGATAAATCTGCCTTACTTAGACCCTCGTTAAGTCAGAAGAGGTGAAGTCACACAGCAACAACGGATATGAATGCATCTGACTGTAAATCTTTTGAATTGGTGCCTTTATTTTTGCAGAAACCAACACAATGCACTTGCATATTATCCTGTTATAGCTGGGAATGTTTTAACTGCTCTGGTTCATTTTTTTTTTTAAACACACAGCTGCCAAAGAAACCCAAATACTGGAGAAGGAGAAAAAGGCAAGGCTCCAATATGAAAAGCAAATGGAGGAAAAGCAGAAAAGGCTGAAGGAGCAGAAGTTGAAAGAGCAACAAAGAAGAGCAGCGGTAGAGGAGAAGAGGAAGCAAAAGATCGAGGAGGAGAAGGTACAGTGTCGTTTAACGCTTTTGTAAATGAGATGTCACTTTGGGGCACCAGCGGTGTTTTTCCTGACAACCTTATTGAACTTCGGAGTTGAGAAAATGCTTTTCTCTGTGTATTCTGGACTTCCTTTCTTATTTTTTTTCCAGTTGCTTTGTAGAATTGTTCAGTGTTCAGTGAATAATTAACCGTGACACTGTCTCACTTTTTAAAAATTATTTATTGTTATTTATTTACAGTATTTATATTCCGACCTTCTCACTCCAAAGGGGATTCAGGGCGGATCATAGAACACATTCAATGCCAATTATACAATAAGACAGCAGGCAACAGAGAGAGGTGTACAGTAGAGTCTCATTTAACCAATCTTCACTTATCCAATATTCTGTCTTAACCGACAAAATATTGGATATTTATTTTTATTTCGTATACTTCTACCCCGCCCTTCTCAATCCCCGAGGGGGGGACTCAGGGCGCCTTACAAAAAGGCACATCTTGGTGCCCACACTAATACAATAACATACAAAAACAGCAATTAAATGGTCAACAATTAAAACAACAATATATCTCACAATCGATAGCCAATCTCAGACACAGGAAGGAAAGAGGGGGGGGGGGGGAGGAAGGAGGGAAGGGGGGAGGGAAAGGAGGAGAGGGAGGGAGGGAGGGAGGGAGGGAAGGAAGGAAAAGGGGGGGGGGGGAGGGAAGGAAGGAGGGAGGGGGGGGGGGGGGGGAGGGGAGGGAGGAGGGGAGGGAGGGGAGGGGGGGGGAGGTGAGGGAAGGAAAGAAAGGGAGGGAAGAGGAGGAGAAGGAGGGGAGAGAGGAGAGAGGGGGAGAGGAAGAGAGGGGAAAGGAGAGGAGGGAAGGAGAGAAAAGGAAAGAGGAGAGAAAGAGGAAGGGGAGGGGAAGAAGGAGAAGGAGAGAGGAAGGGAAGGGAAAGGGAGAAAAGAGAAAAGGGAGAGAGGGAGAGGGGAGAGGGGAAAGGGAGGAAAAAGGAAAAGGGGAGAGGGGAGAAAAGGGGGAGGGGGGAAAGGGGGAGAGGGAGAAGAGGGAGGGAGGGGGGAGAGAAAGAGGGAGGGGAAAGGAGAGAAGGAAGAGGGGAAAGGGGGGGAGGAATGAAGTAAGAGGGAATAAGTGGGTGTAGTGTAGGAGGGAGAGGGAAGAAGAAAAGGAAGGGGGGGGAAAAGAAGAAAAGAAAGAAAGAGGAAAGGAAAAGGAAGAAAAGAAGGAGAGGGAAAGGGGGCAAGGAAGAAAGGGAGGAAAAAGAGGGAGATGGAGTTAAGAGATTGTATGATGGGGGGATTAAGGAAGATTTTGGTTAAATGATGGGAAGGTAAGTTAATATAGAAGTGAAAAGGATAATGGAAATTAGGTAGGGTTATGATGTAATTTTAATAATTCTCACTACAAGGGGTTAGGGCGGTCTGACACATTCTCACAATAACTGCAGACACCCAAACAGTGATAGAGTCAAACTTTCCTTATATTATTATTATTTATTATTTATTTCGTATACTTCTACCCCGCCCTTCTCAACCCCCGAGGGGGGACTCAGGGCGGCTTACAAAAAGGCACATCTTGGTGCCCACACAAATACAATAACATATAAAAACAGCAATTAAATGGTCAACAATTAAAACAACAATATATCTCACAATCGATAGCCAATCTCAGACACAGCGTTCGCCAACTCAGAGTCCATATTTCGTTCCACATTGTCCATTCCTATCCGTCGTCACAGTCCTTTATTCATCTGCCAGATTGCCCAAACGCCTGGTCCCACATCCATGTTTTTAATTTCTTTCTGAAGGAAAGGAGGGATGTTGCTGATCTAATTTCCCCGGGGAGTGAATTCCATAGGTGAGGGGCCACCACTGAGAAGGCCCTGCTCCTCGTCCCCGCCAATCTCACTTGTGACAGAGGCGGGGTTGAGAGCAGGGCCTCCCCAGAGGATCTCAGACTCCGAGATGGGACGTAAAGGGAGATGCGTTCGGACAGATACGCTGGGCCAGAACCGTATAGGGTTTTGTAGGTCAAAACCAGCACTTTGAATTGTGCTCGGAACTGGATCGGCAGCCAGTGGAGCTGACATAACAGGGGGGTGGTATGCTCCCTGTATGACGCTCCGGTGAGTAATCTGGCTGCCTCCCGCTGGACTAATTGAAGTTTCCGAACAGTCTTCAAAGGCAACCCCACATAGAGTTCATTGCAGTAATCTATCTGGGATGTAACAAGAGCATAGACCACCGTGGCCAGATCCGACTTCCCAAGGATATGGAAGGGCTTGTTTGAAAATGTCAATTTTTAATTGTACAAAATGAACTAATTGTACAAAGTGAACGAAAACTCACATCATTTCAGGTTAACCCAGAGAAACTCTTCCAATATGTACTTAAACGTCTCTTCTGTCCCCTTTGCTTTGTGCCAGCTGGGGAAAGGGAATGAAGCTTGTCTTCTGGGAGGGCCGAACAGGGTTTAGGGTCGCAACCTGTGCCTTGCGGGGATGGGTCTTGGAGGTCCTGTTCTGCAATGGCTCTAGTCCTTCCTGGAGGGCCGTACCCAGAAGGTGTTCCTGGGGCACTCCTGCTCGGCCCCATAGCCATTGTCCTGTGGGGTCCCACAGGGCTCAGTATTGTCCCCCATGTTGTTTAACATCTACATGAAGCCGCTGGGTGAGATCATCCGGAGTTTTGGAGTTCGATGTCATCTGTACGTAGATGACATCCAACTCTATCACTCATTTCCACCAGATGCGAAGGAGGCTGTCCAAGTCCTGAACCGGTGCCTGGCTGCTGTTACAGTCTGGATTAGAGCAAGCAAATTGAAGTTGAATCCAGACAAGACAGAGGTCCTCCTGGTCAGTCGCAAGGCCGAACAGAGTGTAGTGTCGCAACCTGTGCTGGACGGGGTCACACTCCCCTTGAAGGCACAGGTTCACAGCTTGGGACTTCTCCTGGATTCATCACTGAGCCTGGAATCCCAGGTTGCAGCGGTGGCCAGGGGAGCATTTGCACAATTAAAACTTGTGCACCAGCTGCGCCCATACCTTGGGAAGTCAGACTTGGCCATGGTAGTCCATGCTCTCGTTACATCTAGGATAGACTACTGCAACACACTCTACGTGGGGTTGCCTTTGAAGACTGCTTGGAAGCTTCAAATAGTCCAACGAGAGGCAGCGAGGTTAATAACTGGGGTGGCCTACAGGGAGCATACAACTCCCATGTTACGCCATGGAGCATACAACTCCCATGTTAAAAACATGAACATTATTTATTAATGTTCATGTTTTTAACTGTTATAATTGGTGTTCTGTATTTTATGATGCAGCATTTTTTATTTCTCGTGTCAGGACAGCCAGTCAATTATTTTACATTTCTAACAGAACAAAGCAAACAAACAGAGAAAATACAAAATGTGTGAGTTTGGTAGTTGATTAAATGTCCTTTGACCAGTATCTAGCCACTTGGAGTGCTTCTGGTGTTGCTGCAAGAAGGTCCTCCATGGTGCATGTGGCTGGGCTCAGGTTGCATTGCAGTAGGTGGTCAGTGGCATTGAATTATTGCCAATTGGAAGCTGCCCTGAGTCCCCGTAGGGGTTGAGAAGGGTAGGGTAAAAATGTTCTAAATAAATAAATAAATAGTGTCGGACTCTGGGGGGTGGTGCTCATCTCCATTTCTAAGCCGAAGAACCAGCGTTGTCATTTGGCCGGCATGACTGCACAGAGCACCGTTACCTTCCCTCAGAAGCGGTACCTATTGATCTACTCATATTTTCATGTTTTGGAACTGCTAGGCTGGCAGAAGCTGAGCCTAACTGCAGGAACTCACCCCACTCCCCGGATTCGAACCGCCAACCTTTTGGTCAGCAAGTTCAGCAGCTCAGCAGTTTAAGAGCACTGCGCCACCGGGGGATTCCAAAAGTACCTTTTAATATTAAAATTTTCTAGACGCTCATGCCAAGCACACTCAATTCTCCACTGTTTGTTGCCATTGCCAGAAGTAACACACCCAGCAGGAGTGGGCTTGCTAATCTGCCAGGCCTCCTGTGGTACAATAGCCGAAATAGTGCGAATCAGAGCTAATACCGTTATTAACAAGATTGCAACTAATCAGTCTCTGCGCTCTTCACATGATTCCTTTTGTATTCTAAGTAGTCACATAATATACCAAAGAGCAAATACAGGCCTTTTGTTGAGAGCATGCTCCTCAGGGAATAATAATAATAATAATAGTAATAATAATAATAATCATCCTTTATTTATACCCCGCTACCATCTCCCGCAGGACTCGGTGTGGCTTACAATCATAATACATCAAAAAACATAACAACAACAAACAACAATAAATAACTCATAACAAAGCAAAACAATACAATAATGGCACGACACATTTAAAAACACGTGGCAGGGCCAAATGTAAGGATTAAAATTTAAAAATTCTGGGCATGTTCAAGGGAAATAGGATGGATATTTTACGGATAGGTGGACGTGCAAATTGTTCTACTCTCTCGTAAAGTGCATTTAGGACATATTGCTTAGGATTCCTTATTCTGGGAAGGCACACTGGAACATACACGTTTTCAAGTTCCTTCTAAAGACTGCCAATGTTGGGGCCTGTCTGATGTCCTTGGGGAGGGAGTTCCAGAGTCGGGGGGCCACCACCAAAAAGGCCCTGTCCCTCGTCCCCACCAATCGCGCTTGCGAAGCAGGTGGGATCGTGAGCAGGGCCTCTCCAGATGAACGAAGAGATTGTGTGGGTTCATATACGGAGATGTGGTCACGCAGGTAGGCGGGTCCCAAACCGTTTAGGGCTTTGTAGGTAAGCACCTGCACCTTGAATTGGGCCCGGAAAATGAATGGCAGCCAATGGAGCTCCTTAAACAGGAGGGTCGACCTCTCCCTGTAAGGAGCACCAGTTAACAGCCTGGCCGCCGCCCATTGAACCAACTGGAATTTCCGAGCTGTTTTCAAGGGCAGCCCCATGTAGAGTGCATTACAGTAGTCCAATCTGGAGTAATAATAGTAATAAACTTTATTTGTACCCCGCCCCATCTCCCTGATGGGGACTCATAGCGGCTTACATGGGGCCAAGCCTGAACAACAATTACAATATATAATGACCAAACGCAACGACCGAATACAGTCTTGTGCAACGACCAAAGGGATTCTCCCCTTGTTTTCTTGGAGCAGTTTGCTTAGCAGCTCTCATAGGAACTGCCACCTAATTCTGGGGATTGTTTGATTGACAGGAGCGTTACGAGGCCGTGGTGCACCGTACCTTGGAGCGAAGCCAGCGCCTGGAGACCAGGCAGAAGAGGTGGTCCTGGGGCGGTTCTGTAACAGATTCGGATGGGAGGACGGGTAGGTATCAGTCACCTTCCTCCCTGAGGCCTTTGAAGGCATATCTTGTGTGTTTACAGAGCCAAACTCACAGTGGAAATATAACCTGGCTCAGCTCAAAACATTTTGTGTGTGTTGTAACAAACAAAAGTACAGATTAAAAAAAATAAATTAGCAAAATGATTTTTTTAAACCAAATGGGAGGAAGAAAATGTCTCCTGCAGAGTCTCTAACATAGCCATGCCAGTGCAGATATCTCAGTGGTTCTCAACCTTCCTAATGCCACGACCCCTTAGTACAGGTCCTCATGTTGTGGTGACTCCCAACCATAAAATTATTTTCGTTGCTACTTCAAAACTGTAATTTTGCTCCTGTTATGAATCGTCGTGTAAATATCTGATATGCAGGATGTATATTCATTCACTCGACCAAATTTGGCACAAAGACCTGATATGCTCAAATTTGAATACTGGTGGGGTTGGGGGAGGGTTTATTTTGTCATTTGGGAGTTGTAGTTGCTGGGATTTTTAGTTAACCTACAATCTGAACTTCACCAATGATGGAATTGAACCAAACTTGGCACACAGTACTCCCATGACCAACAGAAAATATTGTGGAAGAGTTTGGTGGGCATTGACCTTGAGTTTTGGAGTTGTAGTTCTCCTACATCCAGAGAGCACTGTAGACTCAAGCAATGATGGATCTGGGCCAAACTTGGCACGAATACATAATATACCCAAATGTGAACACTGGTGGAGTTTGGGGAAAATAGACAGTGACATTTGGCAGTTGTAGTTGCTGGGATTTATAGTTCACCTACAATCAAAGAGCATTCTGAACCCCACCAATAATAGAAATGAGTCAAACTTCCCTCACAGAATCTCCATGACCAACAGAACATACTGTGCTTTCTGATGTGCTTTCCATAACACAAATAAAGTTCTTCCTTCTTTGCTTCCATGCTGGGCTTCTTTCTCATGCAGATAAACAGCTTCTATCTCACTGAGCTTTCTCTCACACTGAACTTAAACAGGAGCTTCACAAAGTAGCTTTTTTTACACACAGCAGCCTTCACACTGGAGCTTCACACACGAGCTTTCAACCTGGGGCTTCTCTCACGGAAACATCTCACACACTGAGGCCTTCTCATACTGAGGCCTACTAGCATTGGAGCCTTCTCATATTGAGGCCTCTCACGCTGAGACCTCTCTCAGACTGAAGCGTCTTCATACTGAGGGCAACTAACACTGAGGTGTACTAAACTACAGGCATACCAGCATATATAGAACTGCAGCTTTGCTGAGTCATTGCATCCATTTCAACTTTTCACTGCTTGACTCACATTTTTGTAATTAAAAATACCTAGTTAATTTTTAATATTTTTGACAAGAGGACGGTGAGACAGTATGTTGTCTTATAGGCTCTTCCATTTCAAACTGAAGGATGGTCCAATTCTTTCAGCAGGTTCTGCCCCTAACATGAGCCTAACTGCAAAGCTAAGAGAAGGTGAAGGTTTTTATGAGTTACTAGCCGTCCCCTGCCACACGTTGCTGTGGCCCACATGGGGGTTCTGTGTGGGAGGTTTGGCCCAATTCTATCGTCGGTGGGATTCAAAATGCTCAGTGATTGTAGGTGAACTATAAATCCCAGCAAGTACAACTCCCAAATGTCAAGATTCTATTTTCCCCAAACTCCACCAGTGTTCACATTTGGACATATTGAGTATTCGTGTAGAGTTTGGTCCAGATCCATCATTGTTTGAGTCCACAGTGATCTCTGGATGTAGGTGAACTACAGCTCCAAAACTAAAGGACAACTGCCTACCAAACCCTTCCAGTATTTTCTGTTGGTCATGGGAGTCCTGTGTGTCACCTTTGGTTCAATTCCATCATTGGTGGAGTTCAGAATGCTCTTTGATTGTAGGTGAACTATACATCCCAGCAACTACAACTCCCAAATGACAAAATCATAATTTTTTGAGTGATGGTCACTTCTTATGTTGTGAGACGTTTCGTTGCCAAATTTGGTGTGATTTCATTCATTGTTTCTTTTGTTTTTAAGGTACTCATTATGCACAGAACATTTATATATATATATATAGATATAGATTCCTGACATCATTTAAAGCACCTGTAATGCAGACTTTGATTGAGATAGAGCTCTGTGTTTGTAAGGATTGGGAGTTTGGTGATGGCAAGTGACAGAATTTTAATAAATAACAGCATAACTTACTTGCCTAGGCTTTTTAAAAATGTTATGACAGCTGTTTGACACTTCTGAGCACCAATCCAGCATTATTCTTGTGTGTGTGTGTATGTGTATTTCTCCTGAATTCTCTTGTATACTTGTTGGGATTTTACACCATCTGTAAACTTCCTCCCACAGATCTTCCAACTACAGCTGAAGGTGGGTTGAGGAAGATTGATCTGTCTGTTCTTTGTCATTGTAACTAACTGTGTTGTTTTGATATTTTTTTTCTTGATGGATTTTGGAAGCTAATTCTGTCCTTTGTATAGGGCTGCTTTGCTTGCTGTTACCTGTACGAAGCCGTGTTCCTCTAAACCAGCCAATTGTTTGACTCTTCAGTTTTTAGGACCTGAAGAATGAATAAGACCTTGGCTACTGATAATGTTTTTGTATAAACTGAGTGGAATATTGTTGCTGGCTGCTTCAAACGTTGTGTGATGTCTGGTGAAAAAAGATCTGTGTGTCTCTGGGCCTTAAATACTTTTTGTCAATAGAGCCCCCTGTTTCCGATAGCAGAGTTCGAGATAATAATAATAATAATCTTTATTTGTACCCCGCCACCATCTCCCCTATGGGGATTCGGAGCGGCTTACATGGGGCCAGGCCCAAACAACAATTACAATAAAGAGGACCAAAACATAACCGAAAACGTTGTTGTAGGTTTTTTCGGGCTATATGGCCATGTTCTAGAAGCATTCTCTCCTGACGTTTCGCCTGCATCTATGGCAAGCATCCTCAGAGGTAGTGAGGTCTGTTGGAACTAGGAAAATGGCTTTATATATCTGTGGAAAGACCAGGGTGGGACAAGGAATTCTTGTCTGCTGGAGCTAGGTGTGAATGTTTCAGCTGACCACCTTGATTAGCATTTGATAACCTGGCAGTGCCTGGAGCAATCTTTTGTTGAGAGGTGATTAGATGTCCCTGATTGTTTTCCCTCTGTTGTTTTGCTGTTTTAATTTTACCAGCTGTTAGGGTTTCTGGGAGTTGAAGGCCAAAAACATCTGGGGACCCCAGGTTGAGAACCACTGACTTAGAGAAAGCGTTAGAACAGTGGTTCTCAACCTGTGGGTCCCCAGGTGTTTGGGCCTTCAACTCCCAGAAATCCCAGCCAGTTTACTAAGTGTTAGGATTTCTGGGAGTTGAAGGCCAAAACACCTGGGGACCCACAGGTTGAGAACCACTGTTCTAACCCTTTCTCCAAGTCAGTGGTTCTCAGGTTGAGAACCACTGGGTTAGAAGGCAGGATCATCAGGTTTGCAGGCAGGACCAAATTGGGAGGGAGAGTCAATACTCCAGAAGACAGGAGCGGAATTCAAAACAATCTTCACAGATTAGAGAGACGATTGGCCAAACCTAACAAAATGAAGTTCAGCGGGGACAAATGCAAGATACTCCACTTAGGCAGAAAAAAGGAAATGCAAAGCTACAGAATGGGGGACGATGCCTGGCTCAACAGCAGGACATGTGAAAAAGATCTTGGGTCCTCATGGACAGGAAGGAGAACATGAGCCAACAATGTGATGTGGCGGCTAAAAAAAAGCCAATGGGATTTTGACCTTCATCGATAGGAGTCTAGTGCCTAGATCCAGGGAAGTCCAGCTCCCCCTCTATTCTGCCATGGTTACTCCACACCTGGCATCTCACTGTGTCCAATTCTGGGCACCACAGTTGAAGGGAGATGTTGACTCTAAGTTGAAATGTGTCCAGAGGAGCGTGACTCAAATGATCAAGGGTCTGGAGAACAAGCTGTATGAAGAGTGACTTAGAGCTGGGCATGTATAGCCTGCAGAAGAAAAGGCTGAGAGGAGACATGATGCAGGCCATGTATACGTGAGGGGAAGTCATAGGGAAGAGGGAGCAAACATGTTTTCTGCTGCCCCTGGAGACTAGGACACAATGGAACAATGACCTCAAATTGCAGGAAAGATTCCACCTGAACATTAAGAAGAACTTCCTCACCATGAGAGCTGTTCAGCAGTGGAACTCTCTGCTCTAGAGTTTGGTGGAGGCTCCTCCTTTGGAGGCTTTTAAAAAGAGATTGGCTGGCCAACTGTCGGGGGTGCTTTGAATGAGATTTTCCTTCTTGGCATATTGGGGTTGGACTCAATGGCCCACAAAGTCTCTTCCAACTCTATGATTCTCTGTTCTAGTAGTCATCTCTGCTAAGAACATTATAGTCTCCTCCCTGTGATGCAATGCATTCTTCACCAACCAGGTGCCTACCAGATGTTTAGGCCTGCGGTTCCTGACATTCCTGATCTTGGACCAGGCTGGCTTGAAGCTGCTGGGAGTTGACATCCAAAACATTTGGAAAACGCCACACTTGGCGTGGATGCAACAGTGGAATATTTTTCTGACTTCCTCACACTGAAATAGAGGGTTCTCCACTTACATTTGCATGCCCATTATGCTGAAGGCCTGACCAACTTGGATTTTACAACCATATTATGGCATATAAGAGTTGCTTCTTCAAAAGGTCTAGTGACAGGATATTCACTGATAGTGATAACATGAAGGGCTGTGCAAGCAGTCCTCATGGTCAGTAGACACTCAGTTTTTCTCTCTCCAAATAACTCTATGTTTACTGTATCCTGAAGAGATTTTTCTTTCCAAACAGGGAAAAGTCTGCTTTTCCTTTTTGTGTACATGCGGCTCTATTTACTAATTTAATATTATTATTATTATTATTATTATTATTATTATTATTATTATTATTATTATGCGGCTCTATTTGCTAATGTGTTAACTAATGAGTTAACTAATGAGTGCTGTCACTACTTTTTAGCCGTACCAATATGCATTAAATGCTGAAAGGTCTGGAATTCAAGATCTCTTGTTCGTTGCGCTGTGATGCCTGCAGCATGCCTCAATGTTTGTATCTGTTTGTGGTTGGGAGACCCTTAAAACACTACAACTATTCTGTTCTAAGCTTACTTTTGTGTATCTGAGTTTTTGGCCAGATAGTGAGTTTGAAATGCCATTTTAATTGTATTTATTGCTTTTAATTGTAGTTTATATCCACACAGTAATATTTAATTGTTTTCTTTTAATTTTTGTATTTGCTTTGTTTTAAATAGTTATTAGGTTGTGTGGTTGTTGGCTCTCTTGACTCCCTATGGGGAAAAAGACAGGATATAAACAAAAAAGATGGAGATAATGATAGCAAGTGAAAAGATAAGCACTGAATTTCATGCTTGCTAACAAAACAGCTGATGGAGAAAGAATAAGTCTTAACCTCTGATGTACCTTGGTTTGGGTTGTTGTAGGGTTTTTTCGGGCTGTATGGCCATGGTGTAGAGCAGTGGTTCTCAACCTTCCTAATACCGTGACCCCTAAATATAGTTCCTCATGTTGTGGTGACCCCCAACCATGGATGGGGCCTCCCGCTCGCCTCTCGCGTCCCCCGAAGCCAGGGGGCGCAGGAGGAGAGCGGCAAAGGCCCCCTCCATGGCTGCAGCCATGGATGGGGCCTCCCGCTCGCCTCTCGCGTCCCCCGAAGCCGGGGGGCGCAGGAGGCGAGCGGGGAAGGCCCCCTCCATGGCCACGGCTGTTTTGCTCACACGGAGCCGGCAGCCATTTTGGGGGAGGGGCCAACCGAGGCGGCTTCGCGACCCCCGGGAAATGGCCCAGCGACCCCCTTGGGGGTCGCGACCCCCAGGTTGAGAACCGCTGGTCTAGAGGCATTCTCTCCTAGAGGTAGTGAGGTCTGTTGGAAGTAGGAAAAAGGGTTTATATATCTGTGGAATGACCAGGGTGAGACAAAGGACTCTTGTCTGCTGGAGCTAGGTGTGAATGTTTCAACTGACCACCTTGATTAGCATACAATGGGCTGACTGTGCCTGGAGCAAACTTTTGTTGAGAGGTAATTAGATGTCCTTGCCTGTTTCCTCTCTGTTGTTGTGCTGTTCTAATTTTAGAGTTTTTTTAATACTGGTAGCCAGATTTTGTTCATTTTCATGGTTTCCTTCTTTTTGTTGAAATTGTCCACATGCTTGTGGATTTCAATGGCTTCTCTGTGTAGTCTGACATGGTGGTTGTTGGAGTGGTTCAGCATTTCTGTGTTCTCAAATAATATGCTGTGTCCAGGCTGGTTCATCAGGTGCTCTGCTATGGCTGACTTCTCTGGTTGAAGTAGTCTGCAGTGCCTTTCATGTTCCTTGATTCGTGTTTGGGCGCTGCGTTTGGTGGTCCCTATGTAGACTTGTCCACAGCTGCATGGTATACGGTAGACTCCTGCAGAGGTGAGAGGATCCCTCTTGTCCTTTGCTGAACGTAGCATTTGTTGGATTTTCTTGGTGGGTCTGTAGATAGTGTATGTTGTGTTTCCTCATCAGCTTCCCTCTGCGGTCAGTGGTTCCCTTGATGTATGGCAAGAACACTTTTCCTCTGGGTGGATCTTCGTCTTGATTCTCGTGGCTTGTTCTCGGTTGTCTTGCAGCTCTTCTGATGTCTGAGGTGGAGTCTCCATCGACCTGAAGAGCCCAGTTGAGGTGGTTCAGTTCATCTTGGAGGAGATGAGCTTCGCAGATCCTTTTTGCACGGTCTGGTGCTTCTTTTTTGACTTGGGTGATGGTTGGAGTTTTTATGTAGATATCTATCTGTGTGTGTGGGTTTTCTGTAAACGGTGTGACTCAATTGTTGATCTGGTTTGCGGATGACTAGGACATCTAGAAAAGGCAGTCTTCCTTCATTTTCTTTTTCCATGGTGAACTGGATGTTTGGGTGGATGCTGTTAAGATGTTCTAGGAACCTGTTGAGTTCTTCTTCTCCATGGCTCCAAATGGTGAAAGTGTCGTCCACATATCTGAACCATATCATGGGCTTTTTTGTTGCTGTTTCCAGGGCTTGTTTTTCAAAGTGTTCCATGTAGAAATTAGCTATGACCAGGCTGAGAGGGCTCCCCATAGCTACTCCATCTTTCTGTTCATAGAATTCATTGTCCCACTGAAAGTAGCTGGTGGTGAGGCAATGGTGAAACAGAGCTGTGATGTCTTCTGGGAACCTCTGGTTGATTAGTGCAATGGTGTCTGCTACCGGGACCATGGTAAATAGAGACACCACATCGAAGCTGATCAGTTGTCGTTGGTATTTAGCTTGAGATTGCTGATTTTTTCTATGAAGTGGGCTGAGTCCTTGATGTAGTGTGTAGTGAGCCCAATATGGCTTTGTAACTGTGCAGCAAGAAATTTTGCTAAGTCGTATGTGGGGGATCCAATGGCACTCACGATGGGTCTGAGTGGGGTGGATTCCTTATGGATTTTTGGGAGTCCATAAAGCCTGGGTGGGCTTCCGATTTACATAGCTGTTGTCGTATGTCGAAGTTGATTGTTGTCGTATGTCGAAGTACCTTGGTTTGTTTCTCTTGAGCCTGTCATTAAAAGCTATGTGTTTGTGTTGCTTTCCTCACAATCTTTGGAAGAAAAAACATTCATGGTATAATACTGGAACTTCCCAAGATAAGTTATTGTTATGAAACTATACACCCTCACCCTTCCATTGCAATCGTAGTACTGCCAGAGGCTTACAACAAATTTAAAACAATTATCCCAAAAGTGATAAGGAACAGGAGGAGTGCTTGGTTAGTCATGGGGCCAGATGCTAAAATGCTGACTTCTTTCTTCAGCCAACAAGCACTCTACTTCCGCAGCAAACCTCAAGCAAGTTGATCCTGTCATCAATAAGCGCCTTTCTACTTCAGCCGCGCTCCTTAATTCTGCCAGCAAAGGTAAGGCTAAGATGGCAAAGTAGTTGTAGCGCGTAGCATCCCTGCCCAGCTCTCTTTTCTAACTCCTCCAGGACGGTATGGGTCATAAAATGTCTTTTTACCCTTTTTGTCAATCCAGCAGAGGCTATTCTTGTCTGCAGTGCAGTGGTTACCAATTCTGTTCGAACAGAAGAGATGTGGTAAAACTTCCACTCAGTTTCAAAATTCAGAAAGCAAAATCGTGGCGTGTAATTTTTTTTAATGTACTTCCTTTCACTCTACTCCTTTAGGATTTGCATGTTTTCAATTGCACATGCTTCATTTTGATCCAAATAGATAGTGTTTTTTTTGGGGGGGGGGGTGCAAAAGTAGTGATTTTGTCTGAATTCTTGATAAATTGGAAGGTCAGTATACCTTTGTCATATCCCAGAGCAGAAACACATCTGACCTTAAATACCACACCAACTTGGTAAAATCAGCAAGCAGTTTATTATAGAATATATGTAGGCAAAAAAGTAAAAAATAGCAAAACAGTAAAAGTCCAAAATCCAAGATAATCCATAAACTTCAAAGGAAAACCAGGTCCATTAGTACATAGAAAACCATGGAGCAAGGCACTTGAAACAATTATTATTTATTTATTTTATTTATTTATTTAGAACTTTTATATACCGGTCTTCTCACCTCCGGAGAGGGATTCAGGCCGGTTTACAACAAGATTCATGAACAGTGGTTTAAAAACATCACACCCCATAACATTCTAATACATAAAATACATTAAAAAGCAGTCTTTTACTTACATAAGGCCAAGTCGTCAAAGAGAAAACAAAATTCATTATTCATTACCATCCGTCCGTGTGGTCAAAGTTATTGACTTATTCTTCACTTGCGAGGGTGGTGGGACCGAGAGCAGGGCCCCTCCAGAAGATCTTAGCAACCTTGATGGTTCATAGGGGAGAATCCGTTCGGACAGGTAAACCGGGCCGGAGTCATTTAGGGATTTATAGGTCAACACCAGCACTTTGAATTGTGTTCGAGACAAAACAGCAGGAGACAGAACAGACAAAACAGCAGGAAACTCCCATAGGCAAAATTTAAGCTTGGCAAAAACTTGGTACATGAAACTCAAGAGTACTTGAAAGCAAGACCATGATAAAATAACAACGTTGACTCAACTGAGGCAACTGTCTCCCATGAATCATTATAAACCCTTTCCAGAACCCAAAACTGAAAAGAAAGCATTCTTCTTGACTTTCCCACCAGGTAACAGTTTGTTATCTTTCTTTTGCTGTAAACTAGGGGTCCTCAAACTAAGGCCCGGGTGCCGGATACGGCCCTCCAAGGTAATTTACCCGGCCCTTGCTCAGGATCAACCTAAGTCTGAAACGACTTGAAAGTATGCAAGAACAACAGCAATCCTATCTCATCAGCCAAAAGCAGGCCCACACTTCCCATTGAAATACTAATAACTTTATATTTGTTAAAATTGTTCTTTATTTTAATCATTGTATTGTTTTAAAGTGTTTTTTGCACTACAAATAAGATATGTGCAGCATGCATAGGAATTAATGTTATTTTCAAATTATAATCCGGCCCTCCAACAGTTTGAGGGACTGTTGACCTGGCCCTCTGTTTAAAAAGTTTGAAGACCCCTGCTGTAGACAAACAGAACGCCTCAGTTTCTGAAAGTTCTGCTTCTGTTTACTAAAACTTTGCTTTCTGTCCAAGGTTGCACTAGTCTCTCCCTCATTAACTCCTGCACCAATCTCAGCATCATTCTCAGATAGTTGTTCTGAGAAAAGCGGTGAAAGGTCTCTCCCAGGAATGTGACCTTGCTCACACCTCTCTTTTGAACTTAACTCCATCCTGAGCAAACCCTCATCCCCAGCCCCATCATCAGGAACATCCAGTCTCTTCTCAGTCATCTGATCACCATGTCTCAATACACCATGAAGCACTCCTCATAATATCCTCCATTCAGGGAGTGGCTCAAGCTTAATTGTCCAGGTGTTCTTCCTCAACACGCACCCATACAGGCAATGATCTTTGTAAAGACTTAGCATACATATGCACATTCTGTAATACCATCCCCATTCCCATCATGCACATCATTCCCATCATGAGCATCAGCATGAACATCAGACACAATCACAGATTGAACAGGCTGATTGTTGCATCCCAGATCAGGAAATGAGACCATAAGATTAAATCCACCACACTGGACTGTGAGAAAAACAATCCTTTTTTATTGATGAAAAATGGTTACAAAAGAAAGGTAAATGCAAAGTCAAAAAGCCACAGTAGAAACTCAGCAGTCAGGAAAAATCTTTGAACTTGAGCAAAATTCCAAAAACAACAATACAGAAACCAGGAACCTGTTAGCATCACTAACCGTACTTGAAAACTAGAAGCCTCTGGGAATGCAGGCCATGGAACACAGGAAAACTGCCAAGGTGCTGCCTCAGTCTAAAACATTGCTTGATCTAATGAGACAACCGGGGGGAGGCCCCTTAAACCAAAGAAAGTATTTCTTGAAACGCCTCCAGACTTTGAAGCCTCCCTCTCCCGTAATCTATTTGACCTTCGTAGAAACTGTGATTCACTCCTGTTTTTCCAAATCAGTTCCCTTCGGTCCTCATTAAAAAACCCAGGTGTGATTCCCTCTGGAGAGCTATCACGGCCTGATTCCAAAACATTCTCATCAGGCTGTTCAGTTTCACTTTCCCCGACACTGATCTCAGCATCAACAGTTTCAACACTATCAGGGAAAGATACATGTTCAGTGGCTTGCTCAGTTGCATCAGGAAATACACTCAGAGAATCAGGTTCACACAGAGATTGAGGCTCAGGATCACACGGAGGAGGCTGAACCCCAACACTGACATACAACAACCTTGGACAAAGCTTGTATTTCCTCCTAGCTCCTTCTGTTACACAGACTTAAAATGGAGTGTCATGAAAAGTAACATTAGTTAGACACATTATAGTATCCCTCTGCCCAGAGACATTAAGCATAGGTGCAACCTTCGATTCCCATAAGAGACACGTGCATCCAGACAGTTTTTGACTTATAGCCCATTAGATATGTAGTTCGCAGACTGTGGCTTGAATTGCTAAAAACGTCCAGCCCAGAAATAATTCCTCTCTCAATTAATCCCACAAGTGCTTCTTCTTTCAATCAGCACCAGGTTTGGTATGGACTGAAATTCAAATCAAGCCAAGTGATTTATATTGTTTAGAAATCATATCTATTGGTTAATGTGATCAGACCTCACCCTGACGTCCGTTTTTCCCTTTTCAGGTTCAACTAAACGAAGTGCTTCATTAAACAGATTGAATAACAAAGTTCCTCTGAATTCTGAGCAGCCAGTGTCCAAAGACTTGCAGGTGGAGCAAAAAGGTGCAGCAAACAGGGTTTTTCCCCCCATAGGAAATGGGAAGTTTTTGGAATGTGCACCCAAAGGAATGGGATTTTGTAATATGAATTTTTAATTTATGCAACATTAATTGTTGTCTACTGTTGCATACAGGACATTGCGTACTGGTGGAAACAGTCATAAGCAAGTTACATTGGCCTTTTTATTTGATTGCTTATAATAATCTACCTCACGTGTACTGTATGTATTCGAGTATAAGCCGCATTATTTCAGCCCTTTTTAAAGGCTGAAGAAGCCCCCCCCCCCCCCCCCCCCCCGGCTTATAATCGAGTCAAAGTTATTATTTTATTCAGTTATTATTTTTATTACATTTACTTTATTTTGCTCTATTTATTTTGGGTTGTTGTAGGTTTTTCCAGGCTATATGGCCATGTTCTGGAGGCAATTTTTCTCCTGACGTTTCGCCTGCATCTATGGCAAGCATCCTCAGAGGTAGTGAGGTAGTGCCACTTCCAAGCCATTGAATGCTGATCAAGGTGATCAGCTGAAACATTCACAGCTAGCCCCAGCAGACAAAAGTCCTTTGTCTCACCCTGGTCATTCCAGATATATAAACCCATTTTTCCTACTTCCAACAGACCTCACTACCTCTGAGGATGCTTGCCATAGATGCAGGCGAAAAGTCAGGAGAAAAATTGCCTCCAGAACATGGCCATATAGCCCGGAAAAACCTACAACAACCCAGTGATTCCGGCCATGAAAGCCTTCGACAATCTATTTATTTTATTATTACATTTATTATATATTTTATTTTTATTATTACATTTATTATTTCACTGTATTATTGTTTTTATTACTTTAATTATTTTACTCGATTGATACTACATTTATTATTTTACTCTTTATTATTACATTTATTATTTTATTCTATTTTTATTACATTACTCTGTTATTACTGTTATTATTGCATTTCCATTATTTTACTCTATTATTATTATTATTTTACTGACACAAAAGCACAGTATGTCACAGCAAACGAGATCTATATGCTGGATTTCGTATCACAAAATCACAAGTCGAACATTTCCCAAGTGTCTAGGACCGTGTTATGTATTTTCGAATGATGCACGTAGATCCAAGTCAGGTGGCCTTCTGCAGTTGACAGATCATGATTTTGTCAATGTTTATTGTTTCCAAATGCCAGCTGAGATTTTTTGGCACGGTACTCAGTGTGCCGATGACCACTGGGACCACTTGTACTGGTTTATTCCAGAGCCTTTGCAGTTCGATTTTGAGGTCTTGATAGTGGCTGAGTTTTTCCTCAATGCGACTATCACCTGGTATGGCAACATCAATAATCCAGACTTTTTTCTTTTCCACAATCGTGATATCTGGTGTGTTGAGTTCCAAAACTTTGTCAGTCTGGATTCAAAAGTCCCACAGTATTTTTGCATGTTTATTTTCCACGACCTTTGCGGGTTTATGATCCCACCAATTCTTTGCTGCTGGCAGGTGGTCCTTGTGACATAAGTTCCAGTGAATCATCTGGGCCACAGAGTTGGGCCTCTGTAGTCCATCTGTGCGATTTTCTTGCAACAGCTGAGGATATGGTCCATTTATTTATTATTTATTTACAGCTTTTATATTCCGCCCTTCTCACCCTGCAAGGGACTCAGGGCGGATTACAGTGTACACATATATGGCAAACATTCAGTGCCAATTTTTGACATACAAACATATACAGACATACACAGAGACTATTTAACTTTTTCTGGCCGCCAGGGGAGCTGTCACTTTCATCGTCCATCTGCGACACTGATGAAGCACTTCCGCATTCCCCACATGCTTCCCCGCTGGAATGCTTTGCTGAAGTCTTTTTTATGGCCTCATAAATTAGTTAATTTAGCCTCCCCACACTAAGGTGGTACCTAATTTTCCTACTTGACAGATGGAACTGTCTTTCGGGTTGCAAAGGTCGACAACAGGCTACACACAATTGGTTGGAAACCCACTCCAACCTAGGCTGGCTTCGAACTCACGACCTTTTGATCAGAGTGATCCATAGTTTCATTGTTATTATTATTACATTTATTATTTTGCTCTCATTGTTATTGGAAGGCTACGTAAGCACATTTACATTGGAGAAGGTTAGAATAATGGTTTAATCAGAGTTGGACAGTCTTATCTTACATTGCAGTTTTATGTAAATATTCAAAAACATTTAACCTGCCAGTGCCTCAATTAATGTAATTTTATTGGTATCTATTTTTATTTTGAAATTTACCATAGTGGCTGTATTTCCCATCCTCAGCTTATACTCGAGCCAATACATTTTCCCAGTTTTTTGTGGTAAAATTAGGTGCCTCGGCTTAAATTCAGGTTGACTTATACTCGTGTATATACAGTAGTCATTTTGGGTTAGTTCTTTTCCCCCTCTTACCTGGATATTTCCTTAGTTGAATATGCATAACCCGGCTTATACTCAAGTATATATGGTACGTTTGTTTCTGTGTTAATTTTCCATCTGGGAAATAGCACAAATATTTGCAAGGCGGGAACATGGCTGTGATTAAATATCCCCAATTAACGGTGATTCTGAGATTGTGCCGTGAAACGGCTGAACTGCGCAAGCAGATCTCGAATGTAATCGTTGTCTTTGGTATCTAGGAGACGCAGAAAAGAAGAGGAGTTCCTCCCTGAGTAGAATGAGCAGTAAACCCCAGTCTTCTCCTGAATTAGAAAATGTGCAAAAGGAAGACAAAACAGGTGGATAACTCATTACACAACTCAGTTTTCCTTAAAGACAATATGAAGAGAGATAAAATTGAAACAAAAATGTGTTCTTAGTTACAGCTTGCAAAAACAAAATGGCAATGCTAAAGTTTTACTATATACATAGAATATTATGGAGAGATGGTGATGCTGTATTGCAGTCTCTCTTCCTGCTGGACTGATTTCTGTTTGCGTCTCCTCCAGTCTCTCAGCTAACGAACAAGATGGCCTTATTTCTAAAACCGAGCTGTATTTAGACATAGTGAATAAGCAACTTCATCACAGTTTTTCCCTTTCGCTATAATGAAGCATCCGATTTCTTAACAGCCCTCAGCATGTCAGTATGACATTTGCATGCTAAAGTAGTCCTTGGGGAAGTTACCACATACTTTTCTGGACCAGAGAGACCCGACTCTTGACTAATCATTCAGTGGAATTGTGACATTTTCTGTCTTTTGTTCCATGACTTAACCGCCTGGTTCTGACTTTTTGTGTTTCTAGGAGAGAACTACCACAAAACTAACTTGAATCTCTATTCTAGCTGGTCTTTTGGCCTTCTTTGTTTCATGTCCGCATGCTGTTACTAAAACGGTTAACAAAGGCAAACAGTGCAATTCAAGGAGGTTGCATTATTTTTTTGCCGTGCTGTCGCAACTCATTCTGTTTCTCTTATACTAGGCTTCCTGCTGCAAGTGTACAATTATTTCCAGGGGATATAAATCACAACCTGATTTTTTTGCAGAGAGCATGAAAGTACATTTGTGTGGTTTCCCCCTATCTACGTGATGTTCTTTCCTTCCTTGCTTCCTCTCTCCCTCCCTCCCTTCTTTCTTACTTTCCTCCTTCCTTCCTTCCTTCTTCCTCCTTTCTTTCTTTCCTTCCTTCCACCCATTATTTATTTATTTAAAAAATAATTTACATTATTTTTCATTTAATGATTTACTTACTTACTTATTAACTTACTTACTTACTATATAAATCATTTATTTATTAATTAATTTATTTATGTCAATTTTATCCCGCCCATTTCAGCCTGAAGGCGACTCAGGGCGATGTACAGATTGGCAACAATTAGATGCCATATATAAATACATACATCAGTACTGTGGATGTAGCATTTATTTATTTCTAACAATAAGAACACTTTTATTGGGTGTGCCAAATGTTCTTTCACATATGGCATCAAGTTAAATAATTGTCAGAGAGTGCTTAATACTATAACTAATTTTTAATGCACAAGGCTAAAATGTTTAAATATTAAATAATCATAAATATTGAAGTATCTTCACTTCCTTTTTTCTTTCTTTATCTCCTTCATTAATAAGTATTATTAATATTTATTTATTTCATTCATTCAAACAAATTAATTCTTAACTTTATACCCCACTAATTTACTTAATTAATATATACATCCCTTTCACTTTATTTAAACTACTTAATTTAATACATTCAACTCATCATTCCCTACGTTGCATCTTCAATATGTCTTATTCTTTACTTATTATTTATTTCATTAAATTTATTTTCTTTCTTTCCTTACATTACCTTCAATGAATAACTTCGCCCTCACATAGTAAGAGAAGCTAGCACTGGTACACAGTTTTTACTTACACATTAATTAATTAATCAATCCTACCCAAATCTATCTCCATACTTCCTTCCTTCTTGTTTTCCTTTTTCCACATCCATCTCTCCCTTATGTTGACTTCCTTCTTCTTCTTTTTTCTTCTCCCCCCTCTCTTTTGTCCTTCCTTCCTTCCCTCATCCTTCTTTCCCTCTTTCTTCCTCCTTCCTTCTTCCTTCCTTTCTTCCTTCCCTCTTCCTTCCTTCCTTCCCTTTCTCCCCTCTCCTTCTCTCCTCCTTCCTTCCTTCCTTCCTTCTTCCCTCCCTCCCTCCTCTCCCTCTTTCCATCCTTCCCTTCCTTTTTTCCTTCCTTCCTTCCTTCTTTCATTCTTTCTTCCCTCCCTCTCTCCCTCCCTCCCTCCTGTGTTTCTTTCTTTCTTTCCCTGCAAAGCCTTGCAAGAGCACCCCCTCCCTTCCCTCCTTCTGTCCTTTGGCTTGCTTCTTTATTGGACTTTTATGTTGAATCCTCTTTGGTTTGTTCCCATCATCCAGCTCGCCGTTCCCAGTTCAGCCCACTGGAGAGTAACGTGATCAGCCGCCTGCTCGCCCCCACCCAGGCCTCCTTAGCTAGGAGCAAAAGTGCTGCCGCTTTATCGGCTGATGGCAAAGATCCCTCAGGTAAAAGGCATGGGGTGGAGGAAGCCCAGCTACAGCAAATGCAACAGGGTCATTCAGAATAGTGAGCCATTGGGATCAAGTGAGGGGACCTGCTTCCATTTGCTCAGGTGAGAATATACAGTCAGCCCTCCACATTTGCTGGGGCTAGGGGCACAGGACCCCCGCCAAAGCAAATGCAAGAAATACCACATTTTTACCTGAAGGAACTCATGTCTAGAAATCTTTTTTTTACCCTATATAATATTATAAAATTCTACAATGTTTAAAACATAATACCATTAATAATGAAATAATAAAACTTTATTTCCAGACCTCCCTTTCTCCCCAAAGGGACTCAGGGCAGTTTACATATACAAAAAGGCAATCATTCAATGCCTCAGGTGAATACAGGCATATCAAAGTAAAATACAATAAAGCAACAGTAATAACAGTGAGCTTACAACAAAAAATTAAGTATTGTGATGTAAAATAAAACAACCCAATAAGACATAGTTTACTAAAATATTAGTAAGCATTACAATGAATGCTCTAAAAGCAATTTAAAATACAGTTACTGTATATACTCGAGTATAAGCCTCGTTTTTCAGTCCTTTTTTTAGGCTAATAATAATAATAATAATAATAATAATAATAATACTTTATTTGTACTGTATATACTCAAGTATAAGCCTAGTTTTTCAGCCCCTTTTTTAGGCTGAAAAATTCTCCCCCGGCTTATACCCGACTCAATGTAATTTATTATTTTACTTTGTTGTTGTTATTATTATTATTACATTTATTATTTTATTATTGTTATTATTATATTTATTATTTTACTCTATTTATTATTGTTATTGTTACATTTATTATTTTACTTTATTATTATTTTGCTATTTATTATTATTGGAGGACATGTAAGCATATTTACATTGAAGGAGGTTAGAATAATGGTTTAATGAGAGTTGGACAGTTTTATCTTGAATTACAGTTTTATGTAAATATTCAAAAATATTTAACCTACTAATGCCTAAATTAATATAATTTTATTGGCATCTATTTTTATTTTGAAATTTACTAGTAGCTGCTGCATTTCCCACCCTCAGCTTATACTCAATACATTTTCCCAGTTTTTTGTGGTTAAAATTAGGTGCCTCGGCTTATATTCGGGTCGGCTTATACTCGAGTATATACGGTACATTAAAAACAGCTGGTGCCGGTGTGCATTTAAAATGTAATGTGGCAGACATATAAGTACAAGTGGAATTAGCCAGTATTCCAAGTAGTTAAAGTAATCATTGTCTTTGGTAATTTTTTCCCCTGTAATTTTGATAATGTTGTTTGCTGTTTATGTTTTGGTTTCATTTTGCTGTAATATGTTGTCCGGGCTTGGCCCCATGTAAGCCGCTCCGTGTCCCCATCAGGGAGATGGTGGCGGGGTATAAATAAAGATTATTATTATTAATTATTACTATTATTACCATTATTATTATTATTACCATTATTATTTATTATTATTATAATTACCATTGTCTTATCACATCTTCTGTTCCGGAGCCTCCGGTGGCGCAGTGGGTTAAACCCCTGTGCCGGCAGGATTGAAGGTTCGAATCCGGGTCGCAGGTTCGAATCCGGGGAGAGCGTGGATGAGCTCCCTCTGTCAGCTCCAGCTCCTCATGTGGGGACATGAGAGAAGCCTCCCACAAGGATGATAAAAACATCAAATCATCTGGGCGTCCCCTGGGCAACGTTCTTGCAGACGGCCAATCCTCTCACACCAGAAACGACTTGCAGTTTCTCAAGTCGCTCCTGACATGACAAAAAAAAATCTTCGTTCCCAGATCTGCCCCCACCAACCCTCCCATTACTTAGATAGCATTACAAAAACAGCACTGTAAACTGTTTTTATAATGCGGTCAACCCTCCTGTTCAAGGAGCTCCATTGGCTGCCGTTCATTTTCCAATCCCAATTCAAGGTGCAGGTGCTTACCTACAAAGCCCTAAACTGTTTGGGACCCGTCTATCTGCGTGACCGCATCTCTGTGTACAAACCCACACGATCTTTTCAATCATCTGGAGAGGCCCTGCTCACGCTCCCGCCACCATCGCAAGCGCGATTGGTGGGGACGAGGGAGAGGGCCTTCTCGGTGGTGGCCCCTTGACTCTGGAACTCACTCCCCAGGGACATTAGGCAAGCCCCAATGCTGGCAGTTTTTAGGAGGAGCCTGAAAACTTGACTGTTTCAGTGTGCCTTCCCAGAATAAGGAAACTCCCAGCAATATGTCCTTAAACGCACTTTAATAATGATTTAAGATTGTCTGCACATGTCTTCCCTCTTCAAAACTTTTATCCCAGTTACATGTCACCTTGTTCATGCCCAGCATTATTTTTTTTTAATTTTAATTATTACATTTGGCCCAGCCATAAGTTTTTAAATGCGTCGTGTTATTGTTACTGTTTTTTAAAAATTATTTTGCTTATGAGTTTATGTATTGTTTTTGTATTATTGCTGTTATTGTTTATTGTTGTATTGTGGGCTCGGCCTCATGTAAGCCGCACCGAGTCCCTTGGAAAACCAGTAGCGGGGTACAAATAAAGTATTATTATTATTATTATTATTATTATTATGTGGAGAAAGTTCAACATGGAATGTAAGATTTTTATTATGACCAGATCCTTGGGCAGAATAAGTATCACATAGACTAATATTAAAGGATCTTTATACTATGTTGCCAACTTGCAAATCCAGGCGCACATTTCTGGAGCATTGGCTCAGAGTTTGAACTTTTTCTGGACTCATATCTTATTATGTCCTGAGCAAAATAATCTTCCTCATTTATGCAACATTAGAACTTTTTGAGTCCCTCTCAAGCTCTTAATCAGGAAGATTTTCCTTTTTTTGTTTTTTTGTTTTTTTAATAAGTTGTTTTTATTGAGAATAAAATACCTCCAATAGATTGAAGTAAGAAAAGGATTAGAAGCAAAAACAAAATTACAACAAAAGTGTGAGAACAATTTTTTACATGAAAGTAGGAAAGTTGGAGGAGGCGGAGTGTCATGTTGCCAGGCCTCTCCCTTATTTAGGTAGAGATGAATCAAACTTCCAGTTTTATCAAACAGTTTAATTAAACCAGCACTTACTTGCTGGCTGTTTTAATAGACCAACACATAAAACATAAAGATAGCAAAAACAACTCCGTAGTCAAAAGGGTCCAGTCCAGTGGTCAAATGCCGAGAGTTCAATAAACAAAGTCCAGGGATCAAGAGTCTATACCGTAGTCAAAAGCCAGTCCAAAGGTTCAAAGTTCCAGGATTACAGGAGACAGGTCAGGATACCAAAAAATCCAACAGACCTGGGGGGAAAACCAGCAGCATCCACCACCAAAATACAACACATACTTTTCTCCCAAAGATCAGTCTCAAGGTTAACTCCTTAAATCCAGTAATACCCAGCTGCAACCCATCTCCTGCACACCTCCACCCCTAATTGCTTTCACCCATGAACTCCCACTTACAGATTATCAAACCCTCTAGAACTAATACATTAACCCTTCCATCACCAACCACCATCAACTGCAAAACATATGACAGGGAGAAAAAGAGGAGAAAAAAGAAAAACCGCTCAAACAAATAAATAAATGGTTGCAGGAAATTGAGGAGGTGGTGGGGTTTAAAGTAAATAAGGATAAAACACAAGTATTGACCAAAAACATATCCAGAAAGTGGCAAGAGGAATTATAGCAAAAAAAAAAAAACAGGCATTAGGATAGTCACAAAGACAAAATACTGGGGAATAACAATTCCCAATAGTAACGCTCAACTATTAAAAAATAATTATGATAGAAAATGGGCAGAAATAAGAGGAAAGCTAAAAAGATGGGAACTATTACATATCTTTATTAGGAAAAATAGCTGCAGTAAAAATGAACATTCTTCCAGAGGTACTTTACCTATTTCAAACTTTACCTATAATAAGAATAAATGAGACATTTAAAAGTGGCATAAAGATATAAGAAAATTTATATGGATGGGAAAGAAACAGAATAAATTTTAAAAATTTAACCGATGACAAAAAAAAAAAAAAGAGTTGGGCTTGCCCTACCAAATCTCCAAATTTACTATGATGCCTCGGCACTGTGTTGGATAAGATACTGGTATTTATTTGAAAAAAAGAAGAAACTTGTCCTAGAAGGCAACGGCCTGATGCAAGGCTTGTATAACAAAAGACGCGAGGCTGGAGACTTATTAATATTATGTCCGGGCAGGATGGATCTTCCCAGAGGTTTTCCTTTCCTTAAAAAAAAAAAGAAAAAGAAAAATCCCACCCCTGTGCCTCCAATATGATAGCAAGACGATGATGGTGAAGTGAACACTGCTTGTCTTTAAACTTTCTTTTGCATGAAAGCTGCCACCAACCTAAGGTGTTTTAGGATTTTCAAAAAAAATATTTGAGGTGAACTTTTCCCACTCCTGCCAACACTACTCTTATCCCTGGCTCCCAAATAACTGTTTGTTGAGAGGCTTTTCTGTAGCAACAGGGTGTTAAAATTGCTGGAACTATCACAAAAGCTTTACAATGGAATGATGTACAGTAGAGACTTTGTTAAAAGTTAAATAGAATAGGATTTATTTTTAAAACAGACAACTAACCACTCCTGAGAGGTACAAAAAGTGTGACTTGTTACAAAAGTACTTCAGCTTGATTGGTTGCTTGAACAGTTCTCTTCACTTTGTTCTAGACAGAGCTAATCAAACAGAACTAACTGTTGGTAACAAAACCCTCGCTCTATTTCAGAGAATAGTGATGAATCTGACTAGCCTATCTAGCTAGCCCCTGGGTTATTAACTAACTCTACCCTTGAGTTCTTCCTGTTAACCAACCATTTTAACACAGTGGTTCTCAACCTGTGGTTCCCCAGATGTTTTGGTCTTTGTGAAGAAGTCATTGATACTATGTATGTGTTTAACTGTTAGAGCAGTGTTTCTCAACCGTCCTAATGCCATGACCCCTTAATACATTTCCTCACGTTGTGGTGACCCCCAACCATAATATCATTTTGCTACTTCATAACTGTAATTTTGCTCCTGTTGTTAATTGTAATGCAATTATCTGATAAGCAGGAGGTATTTCCATTCACTGGACCCAATTTGGAACAAATGCCCAATATGCCCAAATTTGAATAGTGGTGGGGTTGCGGGGAAGGGTGATTGATTTTGTCATTTGGGAGTTGTAGTTGCTGGGATTTATAGTTAGCCTTCAATCAAAGAGCATTCTGAACTCCAGCAATGATGGAATTGAACCAAACTTGGCACACAAAACTCCCATGGCGAACAGAAAACACGGGAAGGGTTTGGTGGGCAATGACCTTGAGTTTTGGAGTTTTAGTTCACCTACATCCAGAGAGCACTGTGAACTCAAACAATGATGGATCTGGACCAAACTCTACATGAATACTCAATATGCCCAAATGTGAACACTGGTGGAATTTGTGGAAAACCGACCTTGACATTTGTGAGTTGTAGTTGCTGGGATTTATAGTTCACCTACACTCAAAGAGCGTTCTGAACCCCACCAACAATTAAATTGGACCAAAATTCCCACACAGAACCCCCATGACCAACAGAAAATACTATGTTTTCTGATAGTCTTTGGCGACCCCTCTGACACTCCCTGGCGACCCCCACAGGGGTCCCAACCCCCAGGTTGAGAAACACTGTGTTAGAGTATATATTTGTGTTTGCAACAGTAGCTAAAACTAGAGTTATCTGGTTTGAATCCACAGTGAGCGTTGCCAAGGAGACCAGGCAGGCTAGCTCAGGAGAGTGAGAAGTGGGCGGAGCCAAGCAGAAAAAGTTATGTGCGTCTTTGGAAAAAGGGGCAGTGTGTGAGTGAGTGTGGAGGCTTGAAAAGCCTGGGAGAGAGGTGTGTGTGAGCAGCTGGAGGTTTTCAGTCTAGAAGGGCTGAAGAGAGAAACCTGGCCAGTTTCTTTAGTCAAGGAAGACTAAAGGAAGCTTGTTAAGATCCCTAGTCAAGGAAGGACTAGAGATCAGAGATTTGATCAAGGAAAGATCAAATTGGAAGGCTATTCATAGTAGGAAACATTGTTCACTAAAGAGCTTCACCTCAGTAAAAGTTGGCCACGAGCTGTGTTATTTGAAAGAGTGGACTGTATTAAAACCAAGTGATATTCAAAGTTCTATAAGTTATTTAACAGCCTGCAACCATATGCTTTGTACACAATAAACTTGTTATCTTTTGTTAAAAACCGTCTCATCTCATCTAACCTGCGTCTGTAGAGCCAGATCTCATCGGTGGTACCTCAAATACCTCACGTTGGTGGCAGTTACCTTAATTTACAAGTAATAATTGGCCTCCTCTATAATATATTCTTATACACAATTGAGGCCTGAGATTAATTCCCTCCATAATCATCCACACCTGTACAATTGGTTCGCACATCTTCTCAGTCTTCAACTCCCAGAAATCCTAATAGCTGGTAAATTGGCTGGGATTTCTGGGAGTTGTAGGCCAAAACACCTGGGGATCCACAGGTTGAGAACCACTGCTTTAACAAGATCACGGAGGCAATGAATTAAAGGCAGCCCCACTGCAGGCTTTTAGCACTCATGTGAAGAACCAATTTTTAGGGACATCAAAGTCTGGATTCTCCCACTTGTGGTTAATTACAATTGTAGGGGCCCTGTGTAAATAACGATTGTAGGGGTTCTGCATTTTCAACAAAAATATCACCATTTAAATCTCTATTAATTATTGAGTGTAGTTTTATTGGGTGAGGCTTCCATCTTAGCTTTCCCAGCCTACCGCTTTTCATGCTCCCTCTGCTCTTATTATGTTCCCATGAAGCGCACTACTCGTGGTGGTGGTGGTGTCTGTCTCCATGACCTCTCTTGTGCCGTAAGCTTCCAGTGGTGATCTTTGGTACGGTACTTAACAAGCGCTGTCTTTTCTTTTCTTCTCTCTGTGTCTTTTCTCTCTCCTTCCCCCCTCGCCACCCCCCTCTTTCCCCACACCGTGTCCTCGGTGGTCTGTGTGTCTTGTCAAATTCCTAACTTTATAGAATCTCCCCTCTGTCCTCGTTCAGCTTCCAACAGCTCCCTTGGCTCCCCTGCCTACATCCCCAAAGTGCCTCTCCGCAGCCGCAGCATTGACCGCTTGAAGGTGGCCGCCTCGTCCTCAGAGAACCTTTCTCCAGAATCTGCACAGGTTGGTTGGCTGCAGTTTGGATAAGTGGCTCCTGAGATGAATGGATGGATGGGTGGATGGATCGACACATGCACCCATGAATGTTTACCTGAAACTGCAGGCAATAGTGAAGGTAATAGTGAAGCCTATATTTTGACTATATTTGATTTGAGTAGGGCCGGGCTTTAGCTCAGTGGGTTAAACCGCCAACTGCAGAAAATCTTGCTGATGAAAAGATCGACAGTTCAAGCCCGGGTTGGGTTGAGCTCCCAACCGTGAGTCCAGCTTCTGCTCACCCAGCAGTTCGAAAACAGTAATATGAGTAGATGAATAGGTACCACTTTCGTGGGGAAGTAATAAAAGGCACCCATGCGGACATAATATAATATAAATGGGTTCCTGAATGAAGTGCATACAACAAAAATACCACTTATATAAGATAAACAATAATATAATTCAACAACAGTATATAAACATGCTGCACTGTTCAACCTCAGTAACAACAAACAATATTGTTCAAATTTTAGTACAGTCGTATCTTCTTATGAGTAGCTTGTAGCTCAGCCGTCCACGACCGGTTTCGGCCTACTTCAGGCCTTCTTCTGGTAGACTGAAATTAATGAATAAATCAATGTTTTGCTCCAGTTGCATACATATAGAACATCTTATACTTAAATGTACTCAAAGAAATTAGTTAAGTCTTCACCCTTGTTATTACAACAATATTTGTTGAACATATCCATTAAATACCATAAGTTACAACACATTTAAGTGCTTACAAAGTTATACATTTGAGAATTTGTTCTCCTCAGGGGATACAGATTTTTTTGGCTCAGTGGTATCTACATCAAAGGAACGAAATGTGGCTATGAGAGTTTGAAAATTACTATGTTAAAAATGATTGTTTTGTAGAAATATTGAATATTAAAGTATTTTACACACAATATTGTTTGTTGTCGCTGTGAGGTTGAACAGTGCAGCATGTTTATATACTGTTGTTGAATTATATTATTGTTTATCTTATATAAGTGGTATTTTTGTTGTACACCCATGCGGACATGCCAGCAATTCAATCGGGAGAGCATCTGAAACTATTCCTATTTATTTTTTTATTTACAGCTTTTATATTCTGCCCTTCTCACCCCGCAGGGGACTCAGGGCGGATTACAGTGTACACATATATGGCAAACATTCAATGCCAGTTTTTGACATACAAACATATACAGACATACACAGAGGCTATTTAACTTTTTTCTGGCCACCAGGGGAGCTGTCGCTTTCATCGTCCATCTGTGACGCTGATGAAGCACTTCCGCATTCCCCGCATGCTTCCCCGCTGGAATGCTTTGCTGGAGTCTTCTTTATGGCCTCATAAATCAGTTAATTTAGCCTCCCCACACTTTAAGGTGGTACCTAATTTTCCTACTTGACAGATGCAACAGTATTTCGGGTTGCAAAGGTCAACAACAGGCTACACAATGGGTTGGAAACCCACTCCAACCCGGGCTGGCTTCGAACTCATGACCTTTTGGTCAGAGTGATCTTAATGCAGCTGACACTCAGCCTGCTGCACCACAATCCTGGTGCTGGGATTTCTGGGAGTTGAAGTCCAAAACACCTGGAGGCCCAAAGGTTGGGAACCACTGGCCTAAAGACAACAAAGCTCCTTGGTGTATTGTCAAAGGTTATATGGCCATGTTCTAGAGGCATTCTCTCCTGACATTTTGCCTGCATCTATGGCAAGCATCCTCAGAGGTAGTAAGGTCTGTTGGAACTAGGAAAATGGGTTTATATATCTGTGGAATGACCAGGGTGGACAAAGAACTCTTGTCTGCTGGAGCTAGGTGTGAATGTTTCAACTGACCACCTTGATTAGCATTTGATGGCCTGACAGTGCCTAGGCAAACTTTTGTTGAGAGGTAATTAGATGTCCTTGTTTGTTTCCTCTCTGTTGTTGTGCTGTTGTGATTTTAGAGTTTTTTTAATACTGGTAGCCAGATTTTGTTCATTTTCATGGTTTCCTCCTTTCTGTTGAAATTGTCCACATGCTTGTGGATTTCAATGGCTTCTCTGTGTAGTCTGATGGTGGTTGTTGGTGTGGTCCAGCATTTCTGTGTTCTCAAATAATATGCTGTGTCCAGGCTGTGCCTATAGATATAGATAGATATATATGATTCACACACACACACAGATATAGTATCATAGATTTGAAAGGAACCCCTAAAGAAGGACAATTATATGTTGCATGTCCCAGAGTGAGCAAACAAAACAATCTCCACATCAACACTGACAAAGAAACAACAAGAAATACTGTTTACCCACAAGCAGAAAGAAATTACGTATATTGGAAACCAAAACTTTCTCGTTACTTTATTTTTGAGATCACCAGGCTGGGCCACAGCAACGCGTGGCAGGGGATGGCTAGTATCTTTATAAAACCAGTGTTTGACTGGTACATCTCTGCTCTTTCCGCAGAAGCCGGAGGCAGCAAAGCCATCCACTTCTTCCATTGGGCGGCGTGCCCCTTCGCCCTCCCTGCCTGGCTCCAGACGGTCCCTTTCTCCTGCGAATGTGGGCAAACGCCCTCCGTCCCCAGCGACAAGGTTTGTATCTTAGCTCCATTTTCTTTGCTCTCATCAGTTCTCATTCAGAACACAGGCAATCCGAGTTACAAACATCCAACTTACAACCAACTCATAGTTAAGAATTGGGGGTGAGACAGCAGAAAGGGAGAGAAATTACCCCCTTGGAAGGGAAATTCACTCCTGGAAGAGTTGCTATAATGGGGGGAAAGGGTCTCCACTGAAGCTTTATCACCAATCCTTGTTTCCACAAGAAGCCAAATTTTTCAAAATCCAGTTCTCACAGGGACAGAAAGTGAAGGAACAGGGGAAAGGACAGCAAAGGAAACACCACAGAGGTGTTAATCCTTCCTTATGCTATTCAAAGATACATAGATGTTTGGCTGAAGTTACAGGTCAAAATCGTTCCTGTTCAAATTACATTCAAATTCGACTTAAGAACAAGCCTACAACGAAACGAAAGGAAAGTGGGAACAATAACCATTTGACCACCTGCTTTTCCGCCCAGCTGGTGCTTCTCACATGGTCCTTTTTTACCCACTCACCCCTCCCTCCAGCTCATCCCACACGTTTTGACCAAAGTTCGTCCAGCCAGATAGTTGACTTGCAAACAGAGCAAAATTGAAGACTAAATCGATGGGGGAGACCAAAGGCGGTCTCTGACATGGGTCAGAGGCCGCCTTCACTCAGCAGGAAGTAGAATGGAGAGAAGAGAGAAGGGCCCCACTGTATCCCACTCCCCACAGCATCCTGTTCTCTACCTCCTCCAAACCAAAATGCTATCAGATGCTAGTGTGTCTTAAGCCCAGTCTTTCACTTCAGGTCTCTTCTACAGATGGAGGGGAAAATCGTCTCAGAATTAGTGGTATCTTAAGTTCAATCTTTAACCTCAGTACCCTTCTGCGGGGGGAATCATCTCATAATTAGTGTGCTGTCACACCCTGGGCCTATGACAATGTATGTTTATAGGATATGCTTTCTGTATGCCCAACAGGACGCCGAGGTGCCTCAGCTACAGGGTCTGTGCAGAAGTCATTGATATTATGTATATGTTTAACTGTTAGAATATGTTTGTGTGGTAACAGTAGCTAAAACTAGAGTTAACTGGTTTGAATTCACAGTAAGCATTGCCAAGGAGACCAGGCAGGAGAGTGGGAAGTGGGCGGAGCCAAGCAGAGGATGTTATGTGCGTCTTTGGAAAAGGGGCAGTTGAGAGTGGAGAGTTGAGAGTGAGTGTTGAGTGTGGAGGCTGGAAAAGCCTGGGAGAGCAGTGTGTGTGAATAGCTGGAGGTTTTTCAGTCTAGGAAGGCTGAAGGGAGAAACCTAGCCAGTTTCTTTAGTTAAAGTAGACTAAAGGAAGCTCGTTTAGATCACTAGTCAGGGAAGGACTAGAGATCAGGGATTTGATCAAGAAAAGTTCAAATTGGAAGGCTATTCACATTAGGAAACATTGTTTATTAAAGTGCTTCACCTCAGTAAAAGTTAATCACGAGTTGTGTCATCTAGAAGAGTGGACTGTATTGCAAACCAAGTGTTATTCAAAGTTCTATAAGTTATTCAAAGTTATTTAACAGCCTGCAACCATACGCTTTGTACATAATAAACTTGTTAACTTTTGTTGAAGACCGTCTCATCTCCATTAATCTGCGTCTGTGGAGCCAGATCTCATCGGTGGTACCTCCAATACCTCACGTTGGTGGCAGTTACCTTAATTTACAAGTAATAATTGGCCTCCCCTATAATAAATTCTTATACACAATTGAGGCCTGAGATTAATTACATCCATAATCATCCACACCTGTATAATTGGTGGCAGAATTTAAGAACAAACTGTACAATTGGTGACAGTGGGTGGGATCTTTAAAGTTAAAAACCCTATACCCTGTCTATTGTTGGAATTGCACCTGTACAGGGTCCCATAGTTTTTCCAAAACAAAGTTCTGTAGAGGCTCAAAATAAGTCCAACAAAGTTTTTTATTAAGGCTTAAATCTTCAAACAAATGAATAAAATGCCATATAATCTCAAAAAACTGGTAGCTTTCTCAATCTGCCGACAAGGGACAGGCAACTGCTTGATAAACTGTTCCTATCTTCTTTAGGGAAACCTTCCAACCCTCCTTGGGCAATCTTTCTTTACCCTGCTGGCGTGAGGCCCCAACTCCCGGCTCCAAGCTGCGTTATGGATAGCCCGAGTGGTCCCTTACCAGGCAATGGTTGCTGCAGATCTGCCAAGCTGGTGTCCTTTTAGTTTCTCCACAAAGGCTGTGGAACTATTTATTTGCCCAGCAAAGGCTGGCTGTATTCCTCTAGCAAAGCTGTGGAACTGTAACTTTATTCCCCAGCAAAGCTGTAGAGGTTTTTCTTCTTCCCCAGCAAAAACTGGCTGTAGATCTATTTCTTTGACCCCGGCAGAGCTGTAAGGAACGAAGCTTTTTACAGGTAGGGTAGAGAAAAGCCCACACATCCTACTGTAGGACTCCAAACTGTGAGACTGAACTAAAACTCCCCCTTTCCCTCCAAAACCTGGGAAAAGGGGCAGATCTAAAGGCTCTAATGATGATTGATAGGTCGTTGGCCCTATGATTGCAACCTGGGGAAAGCTACCCAATTGCAAAATGCATGGCCCAAATGAATTCAAACAAACTAACAGAAAAGAAATTCAAATCTCCTGGCACAACTGTGCCAGCACAATTAGTGGTATCTTAAGCGCAGTCTTTAACCTCAGTACCCTTCTGCAGATGGAGGGGGAATCATCTCAGAATTAATGGTATCTTAAGCACAATCTTTAACCTAGGTTTCCTTCTGCAGATGGAGGGGGAATCATCTCAGAATTAATGGTATCTTAAGCACAATCTTTAACCTAGGTTTCCTTCTGCAGATGGAGGGGGAATCATCTCAGAATTAGTGGTATCTTAAGCGCTCACAATCTTTAACCTCACTACCCTTCTGCAGATGGAGGGGAAAGCATCTCAGAAATAGTGGTATCTTAAGTCACCCTGATGCTTTCAATCCAGGTCATAATGAAGAATATAAGGACAAACTATGCCATTGCAAAAATTGATGGAAAGGGAATGGGAATATGCCCCCATTGCTGCCTGTTAAAGAAGTGAAATAGTGGGTCTGGGCACTGGGCAGTGTATGTGGTGAGTGGAGTATCTTTGACATTTGGAAGGACGGAATGGTGCCCTCCTTGCCCTGCCTCCCTCCTGCTGCTGTTCCTGGAGAATTTAGAGGGTGGGACCAGCGAGGAGAAAGAGGGAATGTTTTTAAGGAGATTTTATTTACAGAAAGAAAAAAATCCCTAAAAATTAGGGGATGACCCAAACATTATAAAACTTGGTGGGCTAAGAGTGGTAGATGTGCCCTCCATTTGTGGTGATTTCACCCCTCTAGCCCGAAAACTGAGGGGAAGGGGAGCCTGGGAAAGACGCCCTTGTTGTCCAATGTCTGAAAAATTTCATTCTTTCGGATGCTGAATAAAACGCCCTTTCTAATAGGTTCCCCATTTTTGGAAGCAGTGAACAAAAAGCAAACAGGGCTAAGAGAATGAAACAAAACAAAATGGATAGCAATTCCATACAAATGCACAAGACTAATGATAACCTTGTGTAAAAATCCAAAGCAATTGCAGTGTGTCTGATGCAATTTTCTGAACCTGTGCCCCAAATAACCTCAGGAACAGACCTAAAAACCCAGACACCAAGATACTTTTTATTTTTGTGTTGGGACGTGTAATAGATACAAGCTCTTGTTGTGGGCAAGGTTTTTGTACGCAGAAAATGGCATACTTCTTTCCATGCCAAAGCAAGGTCCGTCTTTCAGCAGAGTTCTGACCAATGTCCTTTCCTCGGCAGACAAAAGCCTCATCCAAATTCACCGAATGTCTTAAGGCAACAGACGTCTTCTGTCCCGGTCCCAAAACCGGTCCCGATACAGCGCCCGTCGCTCACTCCGAATGTGCTAAACATTACCAAAAAGAGAGCAGACCTGGAGCCCAAACCAAAGGAGCGAGTGGTGGACCCCGCGGGGCAAGAACAGAGCCCCTTACCACACGCCTCAGAGAAGGAAAGCCCTGCCACAGCTCCAAAGACCAAAGAAGGTAAGAGTGTGTGCATCATAACATGTTTGCCTCTCGCTCTGCCTTTCCCTCTGACACTCACAAAAGGTGAGTGGTGTAACAGGCACATGGCGTTTCTCCAAGAGTAATGTGGTTAAATGGGTTTAATGCTGTAACTTGTATTTATTGTATCAGTACATGCCAATTCCTATCTGAACAAAAGTCAATTTATTATTTATTTATTTGCTACATTTATATACTGCCCCTCTCAGCCCAAGGGCGACTCGGAGAGGTTGCCCTTTATTATTATTATTACTAGCTGTCCCCTGCCACGCGTTGCTGTGGCCCAGTCTGTTGATCTGGAAAATAAAGTAATGAGAAAGTGTTGGTTTCTAATATATGTAATTTCTTTATGCTTGTGGATAAACAGTGTTTCTTTCTGTTTCTTTGTCAGTGTTGATGTGGAGATTGTCTGGTTTACCTACTCTGGAACATGCAACATATAATTGTCCTTCTTCAGGGGTCCCTTTCAAATCTATGATACTATATCTCTCTGTGTGTATGAATCATATCTATCCATCTATATCTATGGCTGGATGGCTCTTTGTCAGGAGGGCTTTGATTATGTTTTCTTGCCCTGGTGAAGGGAGTTGGACTGGATGGCCTTGAGTATTTTCTATTGGTCATGGGGGTTCTGTGTGGGAAGTTTGCCCCAATTATCTCATTTGTGGGGTTCAGAACGCGCTTTGATTGTAGGTGAACTATAAATACCAGTAACTACAACTCCCAAATGTCAAGGTCTATTTTCCCCAAACTCCATCTGTGTTCATATTTGAGCATATGGAATATTCATGCCAAATTTGGCCCAGATCCATCATTGTTTGAGTCCATGGTACTCTCTGGATGTAGGTGAACTACAACTTCCAAGCTCTAGTGTTTTCTGTTGGTCATGGAAGTCCTGTATGCCCCAGTTGGTTCAATTCTATCATGCTATTTGATTGTAGGTGAACTATAAATCCCAGCAACTACAACTCCCTATCTATCTATCTATCTATCTATCTATCTATCTATCTATCTATCTATCTATCTATATCTATGGCTGGATGGCTCTTTGTCAGGAGGACTTTGATTACGTTTTCTTGCCCTGATGAAGGGAGTTGGATTGGATGGCCATATTTGGGTGTATTGAGTGCTTGTGCCAAGTTTCGTCCAGGATCCATCATTGTTTGAGTCCACAGGTCTCTGGATGTAGGTGAACTACAACTCCCAAACTCAAGGTCAATGCCCACCAAACCCTTCCCAGTATTTTCTGTTGGGCATGGGTGTCCTGTGTGCCAAGTTTGGTTCAATTCCATCGTTGATGGAGTTCAGAAAGCTCTTTGATTTTAGGTGAACTATAAATCCCAGCAACTACAACTCCCAAATGACAAAATCATAATTTTTTGAGTGATAGTCACGCCTTGTGTTGTGAGACGTTTTGTTGCCAAATTTGGTGTGATTTTGTTCATTGGTTCTTTTGTTTTTAAGGTACTCATTATGCACAGAGCATTTTTATATATATAGATTATTATTATTATTTTATTTTCTCTTTCTTTGCTTTTCTCTTTTGTACCGTCTTGGACTTCACCCCACTCACACTTCCCAGCACTACCCAATTCCCTGTCTAACCTTCATCCCCTTTCAATGTTACATCTGAAAATTCAATAAAGATATTATTTTTAAAAAAACAATAGGCAACAATTGGATGCCAGAGCAGATACAACAAAATAAAACAATCATTAATACTATAAAATACTAACCGCACTATAAAAACATAAAAGTCATACACAACATTTAAAACATTATCAAAGTGTCTCCATCTCAAATCATTATCCAGTTGTGTCATCAATTGTCCATAATATCATATATGTATTGCATATTCGGGAAGGCCTGTTCAAAAATCCAGGTTTTCACAATTTTTCAGAAGGATAGGAGGGAGGGGGCCGATCTTATCTCTAAGTAGGGCATTCCACAGTCAAGGGGCCACCGCTGAGAAGGCCCTGTCTCTCGTCCCCGCCAGACGCATCTGTGAGGAAGGCGGGAAGCAAGAGCAGGGCCTCCCCAGAAGATCTTAGCATTCTAGATGGTTCGTACGGGAGATACGTTCGGATAGGTAAGTTGGACCAAAACCATTTAGGGCTTTATAGGCTAAAGCCAGCACTTTGAATTGTGCCTGGAAGCAGATTGACAGCCAGTGGAGCTGGCGCAACAGAGGAGTTTTATGTTCCTTGAGTGCTGCTCCTGTTAGCAACCTGGCTGCCGTCCATTGGACCATTTGAAGCTTCCAAGCAGTTTTCAAAGGCAATCCCATGTAGAGAGCATTGCAGTAATCTATACAGGATGTAACCAGAGCGTGGACTACCATGGCCAGTTCAGCTACTTAACATCATTAACCTAGGAAGTGTAACAACTAATGTGTAAAGTGAGTGATGCTTCAAAGTGTTCCATGTAGAAATTTGCTATGAAAAACAATCAGTGGAAACAGCAACAAAAAAGCCCAATATATGGTTCAGATATGTGGATGACACCTTCACCATTTGGAGCCATGGAGAAGAAGAACTAAACAAGTTCCTGGACCACCTGAACAGCATCCATCCCAACATCCACTTCACCATGGAAAAAGAAAATGAAGGAAAACTGCCATTTCTAGATCTCCTAGTCGTCCGCAAACCAGATCAACAGTTGGGTCACACAGTTTAAAAACCTACATACAGAGATCGATACCTACCTACATTAAAACTCCAATAATCACTCAAGTCAACAAAGAAGCACCATTAAAGCCCCGGGAGACAGTGCAAAAAGCAACTGTGAATCCCACTTTCTCCAAGACGAACTGAACCACCTAAACTGGGCTCTACAGGCCAATGGAGACTCCACCTCAGACATCAGAAGAGCTGCAAGACCAAGAACAAGCCACGAGAGTCAAGACGAAGATCCACCCAGAGGAAAAGTGTTCTTGCCATACATCAAGGGAACCACTGACCGCATAGGGAAGCTGATGAGGAAACACAGCATACAAACTATCTACAGACCCACCAAGAATATCCAACAAATGCTACGTTCAGCAAAGGACAAGAGGGATCCTCTCACCTCAGCAGGAGTCTACCGGATACCATTCAGTTGTGGACAAGTCTACAGAGGAACCACCAAACATGAATCAGGGAACATAAAAGGCACTGCAGACTACTTCAACCAGAGAAGTCAGCCATAGTGTTGCAACCCAGAGAAGGAAACTGGACCCTCAGACAACAATCCACCACACTTGACTTCAGGAAAACAATCCTTCTTTATTGATGAAAGATGAGTACAAAATAGAGGAAAAATGCAAAGGTAAAAAGTCACAGTAAAAATCAGCAACAAGAAATGTCCATAAACAAGATCATAAAACCCACAGCAAAACTGCTGAATCCTGGAACCTGTTAGCAATCCACTAACCGTACTTGGAACAACTAGAAAACCTCCGAGGAACAAGGCCACTTGAATCAGGAGACCTGCAAAAGCTTGCACATGAATCTGGAACGATGCCTGGTCTGAAGCTGCATTCAGGCCAGGCATACTTAAGGCCGAGAAATCTATTGCGAGACACGCCTGAAGTTTTTGTTTGCATTTCTCTCAATCTAGCTGACCTACGTAAACTTTGTGCTTCTCCCCGGCTCTGCCAAATCTGCCCCCGCCTATCCTCATTAGGCAGACCAGGTGTCAGATTCTCTGGAGAACTAAGACTGGGAGGAAAAGGGAGTGAAACGTCTCCGCTCGGCTCAGAATGCATGTTCTCATGGGAATCTGACTTTCACTTTCCAAGGCTGTAGGATTTTCACTACTCAAACCATCATCATCTAAATTGGCCTCAGAATTCACATTGACATCTACATTGGCATCAGGAAATACAATCAGAGAATCAGGTTCAGGTTCACACACAGGCTGAACCCCAACACATAGCAGAGCACCTGATGAACCAACCTGGACACAGCATATTATTTGAGAACACAGAAATGCTGGACCACTCTCACAACCACCATGTCAGACTACACAGAGAAGCCATTGAAATCCACAAGCATGTGGACAATTTCTACAGAAAGGAAGAGACCATGAAAATGAACAAAATCTGGCTACCAGTATTTAAAAACTCTAAAATTATAACAGTAAATAAAAAACAAAACTCAAACTCAGGGGAACTCCAGTCAGGAACATCTGATCACCTCTCAACAAGGAAATTTCCCAGGCAGTAACAAGCCACACCTAAAAACTGTCAGGCCATCAAATGCTAATCAAGGTGGCCAATTGAAACATTCACACCTAGCTACAACAGACAAGAGTTCTTTCTCCCACTTTGAACCTTCCACAGATATATAAACCCAATTTTCTAGTTTCCAACAAACCTCACAACCTCTCAGGATGCTTGCCACAGCAAAATGTGGCAAAATGTCAGGAGAAATGCTTCTAGAACATGGTCATATATAACAACAAGGATCACACATACGGGGAAAGAGATCTCCAAAATACTACAGATCCCTCAACTATCAATCTGGTGGTATATGTTACTTGGCACAGAGCAACGTAAATGATTGATGAGGTAACGTGTATGGACTGATTGTAGTAGCTGCCACCACCCAAGGGAACTTGGGAAACTAAAGATGTTGTTGTCTCTGAGGTAAATCCTCCTATACACCAGCTCTTCCTTTTGGCTCCCTTCAAATGACTGAATTGTAAAGATGTTGAAAATCACTGGAACTAATCTTATAGAATGAATCAATGCTGAGGCTCTTTAAACAGTGAACTAGAGAATAAGTTTATTAAGATATTTGAAACAAACAACTGTCTTCTTACCGAGGCACACAAGCTTAAATGGTTACAGAGCACAATAATCTTAGGTTCCTGAACTTAAATGTGAATCAGATCACTCATTCTACCCTGATCCAGTAGCCGTGAGTCCCTCAGACAAACCAAGCCTGGTTGTCTCCAGAGTAAATAGCTTCCCTCTTAACAGAGTTCACTAACAGCTA